GCTCAATCGATATCTCGTGACTGTCACGTGACAGCTATCCAAGGAAATTATCTATATGGCGCCTCCGGTGTAAACTAGGAAAGAGCTAGTTTGAGCTTTAAATAGGCAGGACACCGCTAATTCTGCAGCTGAAATTTACAACTTCTACCATCACTCAAGCAGGTGGCGGTGAAGTTGAAAGTCAGCCTGTGTGAGCGTGTTAAATCACTCCTTATGCTACATTGTCCCGGTCACTAAGTACTCCCTGTACTAGACGTAATAATAATAATAAACTATAATAACAATAATAAACTATGATATAAGTTATTATAATAACTATGGTAACAATCTTTTGCCGTCCAGTTCATCTATTCCAAATAGGCTTCAAAATAAAATGTATGGATAACAATGCACCAAATTAAAACTTAAACCATGGTATTGGCTCCTAATTGGTTAGTTCTATTTTACCGTCAAACAAAATTCCCAAAACCGTTCAAAATAATATTAGTAAACCAGTAATCAGCGCAGGAGCAAATATATCGCAAAAAATCATGATTGCCACGGACCACCGTTGAAATAATATAATAAGTATACATAATACCACTCTCAAAGGCCAATTCTTATGTCTTAATTGCTGATCTAAATGTTTGACTGTCATGGTCAAATAATGAGATGTTGAAAAAATGCAAGCTAAAAAATCAAACTCCTATTTTCACACTTTCAATAACCCTGAGGCTAGGATATAGGAGTGGTAAAAAAGTCCAAAAATCATGATAATTATAAAAAGTAAAAACAATGCCAATAGTTCGTCCTTATTTTATGCCACCATTTTCCTATTTTGCCATACTCACAGGTCCTTTCACTGGTCATGAGGGGTCGTTCACATATTACGTAATCACTTTTTTGGTGATTCCCCCCTCTGTAATCAGTTTTACACGTCATAGCAATTGTGTTAACTTTAAGATTACACCAGCGCAATCACTTGGAACCCCCTCAGTGATTACTGATTACGAAATATGTAAACGACCCCATCAAATAATGTTTACTATAAAAAGTAAGTTATGCAATATCTTGGTCGACATAAATATCCTCCTCGTCTACACAGCAAGCTGGTGGTTGTGGAGGGGGTCCAGTCGGGAGATCTCGATCTTGCAGTCCTCCCATCATCATCCTCCCGGGTTCCTTTGTCTTTCTCCAGGATGTCCGGATCACAATTGCAACGAGGCAACCCAGAACTGCTACCAGAATCACAATCAGTAGTGCTGTCGTCACGGGATGAGGATTTCCAAGTTTGGTCTTTTTGTCCGATATTTGCGGAGCTGGTGTCTGCTTGTTGTTTTGGGTGATATCATTCTTTGTGGTTGATGGTTGAGCGGTGTTGTTCGATGGCACTGTGGTAGTCATGTTGGTTGAAGGTTCCTCTGAGTGGTGTTTCTCTGTCTCAGTGCAGTTGTTGCCGGCTGGGTTCCAGAGATAGTTGCCCAGACACTCACAAGCAGAGTGGTCGAGAGAAGCGGTGCTGTTTTCAGGACAATTTGTACAAGATGTGCTGTTTCGAACACTGAAAGTGTTCCTACCACATTCCGTACACTCTGTGCCTTCCTTGAGTAGCCCTGGAAAGCAGAAACAGTTACTTGAACCAGGGGTGGAGGTAGCTCCGTTAGGACACTGGGTGCAGTTCACTGAGTTAGCAGCACTGTACGCTGGACAAGGTATACACACTATACAGTGACCCACCGACCAGTACAGGCCAGCTTCGCAGGAACATCTACCCACAGTACCAGTTGCGTTTACACTGTTTGTTGGGCAGGGGATGCAGCCGTCAGCTGTTGCATAGAAGTTTCCAGAGCATCCGCAAGAGATCTTGGTGTAATGAGTTGTGCCAGAACAAGCAGTTAGATGAACTGTAACTACTCATAATTTGTATCCTTGGACCTTGCTTATTTGAAATATCCCCATTCATTATCAATTAACTTCTCATTAATCCGTTCGCATCGTCGGACTTTATCTCGCTGTAACAGTGTTATCTACAAGGTGTTCTACTAAAATTGTAAGAATTTCGCCCTAATGTCACCTCCAGAAGGGGGGGGGGGGGGGGGGGCCCTCCAGAAATATCATTAAAGACACTTCTGACTTCATCTGTAATATCGGATCCAAATAACAATGTACCTTACGAAACATATATAAATGGTACGAAAGTCGGCGGTTTTTCGAAAAAAAAATTAGTTCACCATCATTGCATTATTTTCCCTAAATTATTTTTCACGCATTTTCCTTAATTATGAATTTATCGATTTACTATCAACTAATCAATATAGTAAGTTATTGATATGAATCATAAAACAATTAATGAACACTAGTATTCGATTATGAATCGCTTTAAAAATGATTTTTGACACGTTCCATTAAAAATAAGCAAGCTCTGTCACTACTTTAATGGCCACGGCGGTGAAATTTCGGGAGTAGTGGAAGATAACAAACACTACCGGTGTCCTATACCCTCTGGAGGATTATAAGTTAAGTTGAGGCTAACTTTCAAAGGCTCCGGAGAAATTTAAAAAAAGATGAAACAGCTGATCAGAGAAGATCTTTGTATTTAATTTTGTCAAATATTGGGTTGGTTGTAAGGATGCTGTATTCCCAAACTTTTCAGATTAGTTTTTTTGTCTTTAACGAGTTTATAATTTCAGAGATAGATTTTAACGAGGAGGAGCGATCGGAGGTAAGTTTTAAAATTTTTTTCAATTGTTTGATTGTTCCAACCATTTTAGTATGAAATTTCAAAGCTTCTGGCATGCAGTAAAATGAAGCCTACTGCACCATGTATTTATGTACAAGGGTCGACCGAGTCCTCGGCCTCAGCCTCGGCCTTGGTCGCAAATCCTGCCCTCGGTCGACCCTTGTTTATGTATTTGCAGTTGTCAAAGTTAATTCTAGCTAATCCCAATGAGGATAGTGTTTACACATGAACGCCTATTACAGCTTTTTTACAACTTTCTTAAACCTGCATTTGTTTCAGTGTAAAGATGGTAAGAACAGCAAATCCCTGACCAGAAGTGACCTGGATAAGATGAACCTGAGAGATCCCAAAACTTTGGCCGAAATTGCCAAGAAATTGTAAGTTTTACATGTAGTTTCTCTATTGATGTACGGCTGCTCTATTAAGGAGGTTATCTACAGGTTTTTAAGAATCAAGCACACGTTACCACAGTAAAAACCTACAAGGCATGAGCTGTGTCACACAATTACCACCAACAGTTGACATTTTAATTAATTCCTAATAACTAATTGTTCCACAGCACGAGAAAAAAGGTCAACAGTCCGACCGAGAGAACAGTTAAATGCACTGACCCGGTTAGTTTCTTAGTTACTTAGTAGACACACTACTACTATAACAGTACGTATTTAGGTACAGTTTGTAGTACGTTTTTAGGTACATCTTGCATATGAGCTGGGTTTTAACTTTATCAGCCCTCGATTTAATCAATTGTCGGTTAATTTAATCGTTTTAACAGTGATTGATTCGTATTGGAAGGCTGGTGTCTAATCGCTGCAGTTGCAGCTATCCAACCCGATTGGTTACTGTAGTTTAGCCTAGACTGACATTTAACTTACAATTTAACAGGATTGTTCGAAGATGTTTAAGGATCATATCGGATTACGGAAACATCTGTTATCTCACGCCCCTAAAGTGCACGTGTGCGCGGAGTGTGGTAAGGCGTTCAAGGAGAGTTCTAAGCTGAAGCGACATGCTCTGGTCCACACTGGAGAAAAGCCCTTTCAGGTGAAGATTTCCTTCACTATTTAACCTTGGAATTTGTATCCATCAAAGTTTATCGAAATTGGTAGAGTATTACGGGATATCTCATATCGGCACTGCACGGAATTCCGACACCGCACGAAATCTTTCAATTCCTAATTTATAAGGAATTCCATGTGCAAGGAATTTAGGTAAAGAAGGGCTTGTAACTGAGGCTCTCCTTGATAGTTCATTCACGTAACCGGTTATATGTTAACAGTAATCACTCGTGCAAAGAAACAGTGGTGTTAGGGGTAGGATGGCAGAGGGTAACTATTCATTCTTTTCAATCTGTTCAAGAAACAATATACGTGTGTTTGATGTGGGCCTGTTATTTCAGTTACAGTTCCACAATACCGCAACCCATATTAATGGGGTTTAAGTTGATCCGCACCATATCATATTACTATCATGCAGTATATCAACATTATTATACAATATCCATCCCATCCTACACATACATAGCTTGTTATTTTAAATTATTGCATTATATAGATTATCATCATGGTGTCAGATTTTTGCAGATTTTTGTCGAACCATCTTAAATTATAATACTGGTGATTTGAAATGGTTGGCTTGGTATTTTTGCGGGCCCCACACTTGACATTACAGAATTTGTTTCTTACCCTTAGCTTTAAGATTCCAAAACCATGTTGAATTTAACTCGAATTTTTAACCAAAATTCACTACTAGCGATAACAAAAAAAGCTAAAAAAATCAAATTTCACACTTTTACTCAAGTCAAGCGCTGATAAACGGTTAACGGTGAATTTCCATTATTCACACTTAGAGGCAACTTTTGGTACCAAATTTATCAAAATCAGAGACAACAAATTCTGTGCCAGCTCATGGCGCTTATTACATAGCAGTGGCGTAGGACTGATGAAAAGTTTGAAAATTAGAAATTTTCAGAAAATGTGTTATTGGACTGCCGATCTGGGGAGCAACCTAGGGCCCTCTATATATTCATGCCCATTGTAGGCTACATCCCCGATCCCCGAGACTTCGTCTTACTTTCGTCTGGTTTGCACTCTCTCTTCATACCAAGTTACTAGCTAGGTAACAAGGTAATCGAGACAGTTTTCAACGTAACAACGATTTCAGCCGGTTCGGACAAATCTTTGTTCTAACCATTTGAACAACAAATCAGTGCACTGCCATCTGTACGCGCCCTCACACACTGTTCTTAAACCAGAGTTAGCTTTATACCAACATAGTTCACGAAATATTTACTTGTATGTACCCCTAATCATCGAATTACCACCCAATTTCACGCTATTACAACTCCCTGCAACTCCACTGCAACTCCAAGCTCTTAATTACGCCTTATATGGATGTGTAATTAGCTTTGCAAATATCACGTGCTAGATGCAGCTTTTAATTACGCCTTATATGGTGCGTAATCGGGTCTGCATGATAGCTCAATGTCACGCGCTATATATCCAACCAGTAAACGCGCTCAATCGATATCTCGTGACTGTCACGTGACAGCTATCCAAGGAAATTATCTATATGGCGCCTCCGGTGTAAACTAGGAAAGAGCTAGTTTGAGCTTTAAATAGGCAGGACACCGCTAATTCTGCAGCTGAAATTTATAACTTCTACCATCACTCAAGCAGGTGGCGGTGAAGTTGAAAGTCAGCCTGTGTGAGCGTGTTAAATCACTCCTTATGCTACATTGTCCCGGTCACTAAGTACTCCCTGTACTAGACGTAGTAATAATAATAAACTATAATAATAATAATAAACTATGATATAAGTTATTATAATAACTATGGTAACAATCTTTTGCCGTCCAGTTCATCTATTCCAAAGAGACCTTGTTTTCATGATTTTAAGATTTCATGCCGAAACACTGCTTATCATATTAATCACTAGCAACACTCAAAAACTCATTGTAACTCAAGCTCACTCCGAATTCTATTGTTGATCTCATCTCAGTGCTTTCATGAGGGGTGTGACAGCCCGGTCACACCCCTCATGACATATATAAATGGTACGAAAGTCGGCGGTTTTTCGAAAAAAAATTAGGTCACCATCATTACATTATTTTCCCCAAATTATTTTTCACGCATTTTCCTTATATATTAATTATGAATTTATCGATTTACTATCAACTAATCAATATAGTAAGTTATTAATATGAATCATAAAACAATTAATGAACACTAGTATTCGATTATGAATCGCTTCAAAAATGATTTTTGACACGTTCCATTAAAAATAAGCAAGCTCTGTCACTACTTTATTGGCCACGGCGGTGAAATTTCGGGAGTAGTGGAAGATAACAAACACTACCGGTGTCCTATACCCTCTGGAGGATTATAAGTTAAATTGAGGCTAACTTTCAAAGGCTCCGGAGAAATTTAAAAAAAGATGAAACAGCTGATCAGAGAAGATCTTTGTATTTAATTTTCTCAAATATTGGGTTGGTTGTAAGGATGCTGTATTCACAAACTTTTCAGATTAGTTTTTTTTGTCTTTAATGAGTTTATAATTTCAGAGATAGATTTTAACGAGGAGGAGCGATCTGAGGTAAGTTTTAAAATTTCTTTTAATTGGTTGATTGTTCCAACCATTTTAGTATGAAATTTCAAAGCTTTTGGCATGCAGTAAAATGTAGTCACTGCACCATGTATTTATGTATTTGCAGCTGTCAAAATTAATTCTAGCTAATCCCAGTGAGGGTAGTGTTTACACATGAACGCCTATCACAGCTTTTTTACAACTTCCTTAAACCTGCATTTGTTTCAGTGTAAAGATGGTAAGAACAGCAAATCCCTGACCAGAAGTGACCTGGATAAGATGAACCTGAGAGATCCCAAAACTTTGGCCGAAATTGCCAAGAAATTGTAAGTTTTACATGTAGTTTCTCTTTTGATGTACGGCTGCTCTATTAAGGAGGTTATCTTCAGGTTTTTAATTATCACACGTTACCACAGTAAAAACCTACAAGGCATGAGCTGTGTCACACAATTACCACCAAAAGTTGACATTTTAATTAATTCCTAATAACTCTGTTCCTCAGCACGAGAAAGAAGGTCAACAGTCCGACCGAGAGAACAGTTAAATGCACTGACCCGGTTAGTTTCTTAGTTACTTAGTAGACACACTACTACTATAACAGTACGTATTTAGGTACAGTTTGTAGTACGTATTTAGGTACATCTTGCATATGAGCTAGGTTTTAACTTTATCAGCCCTCTATTTAATCAATTGTCGGTTAATTTTATCGTTTTAACAGTGATTGATTCGTATTGGAAGGCTGGTGTCTAATCGCTGAAGTACCAGCTATCCAACCCGATTGGTTACTGTAGTCTAGCCTAGACTGACAATTAACTTACAATTTAACAGGATTGTTCGAAGATGTTTAAGGATCATATCGGATTACGGAAACATCTGTTATCTCACGCCCCTAAAGTGCACGTGTGCGCGGAGTGTGGTAAGGCGTTCAAGGAGAGTTCTAAGCTGAAGCGACATGCTCTGGTCCACACTGGAGAAAAGCCCTTTCAGGTGAAGATTTCCTTCACTATTTAACCTTGGAATTTGTATCCATCAAAGTTTATCGAAATTGGTAGAGTATTACGGGATATCTCATATCGGCACTGCACGGAATTCCGACACCGCACGAAATCTTTCAATTCCTAATTTATAAGGAATTCCATGTGCAAGGAATTTAGGTAAAGAAGGGCTTGTAACTGAGGCTCTCCTTGATAGTTCATTCACGTAACCGGTTATATGTTAACAGTAATCACTCGTGCAAAGAAACAGTGGTGTTAGGGGTAGGATGGCAGAGGGTAACTATTCATTCTTTTCAATCTGTTCAAGAAACAATATACGTGTGTTTGATGTGGGCCTGTTATTTCAGTTACAGTTCCACAATACCGAAACCCATATTAATGGGGTTTAAGTTGATCCGCACCATATCATATTACTATCATGCAGTATATCAACATTATTATACAATATCCATCCCATCCTACACATACATAGCTTGTTATTTTAAATTATTGCATTATATAGATTATCATCATGGTGTCAGATTTTTGCAGATTTTTGTCGAACCATCTTAAATTATAATACTGGTGATTTGAAATGGTTGGCTTGGTATTTTTGCGGGCCCCACACTTGACATTACAGAATTTGTTTCTTACCCTTAGCTTTAAGATTCCAAAACCATGTTGAATTTAACTCGAATTTTTAACCAAAATTCACTACTAGCGATAACAAAAAAAGCTAAAAAAATCAAATTTCACACTTTTACTCAAGTCAAGCGCTGATAAACGGTTAACGGTGAATTTCCATTATTCACACTTAGAGGCAACTTTTGGTACCAAATTTATCAAAATCAGAGACAACAAATTCTGTGCCAGCTCATGGCGCTTATTACATAGCAGTGGCGTAGGACTGATGAAAAGTTTGAAAATTAGAAATTTTCAGAAAATGTGTTATTGGACTGCCGATCTGGGGAGCAACCTAGGGCCCTCTATATATTCATGCCCATTGTAGGCTACATCCCCGATCCCCGAGACTTCGTCTTACTTTCGTCTGGTTTGCACTCTCTCTTCATACCAAGTTACTAGCTAGGTAACAAGGTAATCGAGACAGTTTTCAACGTAACAACGATTTCAGCCGGTTCGGACAAATCTTTGTTCTAACCATTTGAACAACAAATCAGTGCACTGCCATCTGTACGCGCCCTCACACACTGTTCTTAAACCAGAGTTAGCTTTATACCAACATAGTTCACGAAATATTTACTTGTATGTACCCCTAATCATCGAATTACCACCCAATTTCACGCTATTACAACTCCCTGCAACTCCACTGCAACTCCAAGCTCTTAATTACGCCTTATATGGATGTGTAATTAGCTTTGCAAATATCACGTGCTAGATGCAGCTTTTAATTACGCCTTATATGGTGCGTAATCGGGTCTGCATGATAGCTCAATGTCACGCGCTATATATCCAACCAGTAAACGCGCTCAATCGATATCTCGTGACTGTCACGTGACAGCTATCCAAGGAAATTATCTATATGGCGCCTCCGGTGTAAACTAGGAAAGAGCTAGTTTGAGCTTTAAATAGGCAGGACACCGCTAATTCTGCAGCTGAAATTTATAACTTCTACCATCACTCAAGCAGGTGGCGGTGAAGTTGAAAGTCAGCCTGTGTGAGCGTGTTAAATCACTCCTTATGCTACATTGTCCCGGTCACTAAGTACTCCCTGTACTAGACGTAGTAATAATAATAAACTATAATAATAATAATAAACTATGATATAAGTTATTATAATAACTATGGTAACAATCTTTTGCCGTCCAGTTCATCTATTCCAAAGAGACCTTGTTTTCATGATTTTAAGATTTCATGCCGAAACACTGCTTATCATATTAATCACTAGCAACACTCAAAAACTCATTGTAACTCAAGCTCACTCCGAATTCTATTGTTGATCTCATCTCAGTGCTTTCATGAGGGGTGTGACAGCCCGGTCACACCCCTCATGACATATATAAATGGTACGAAAGTCGGCGGTTTTTCGAAAAAAAATTAGGTCACCATCATTACATTATTTTCCCCAAATTATTTTTCACGCATTTTCCTTATATATTAATTATGAATTTATCGATTTACTATCAACTAATCAATATAGTAAGTTATTAATATGAATCATAAAACAATTAATGAACACTAGTATTCGATTATGAATCGCTTCAAAAATGATTTTTGACACGTTCCATTAAAAATAAGCAAGCTCTGTCACTACTTTATTGGCCACGGCGGTGAAATTTCGGGAGTAGTGGAAGATAACAAACACTACCGGTGTCCTATACCCTCTGGAGGATTATAAGTTAAATTGAGGCTAACTTTCAAAGGCTCCGGAGAAATTTAAAAAAAGATGAAACAGCTGATCAGAGAAGATCTTTGTATTTAATTTTCTCAAATATTGGGTTGGTTGTAAGGATGCTGTATTCACAAACTTTTCAGATTAGTTTTTTTTGTCTTTAATGAGTTTATAATTTCAGAGATAGATTTTAACGAGGAGGAGCGATCTGAGGTAAGTTTTAAAATTTCTTTTAATTGGTTGATTGTTCCAACCATTTTAGTATGAAATTTCAAAGCTTTTGGCATGCAGTAAAATGTAGTCACTGCACCATGTATTTATGTATTTGCAGCTGTCAAAATTAATTCTAGCTAATCCCAGTGAGGGTAGTGTTTACACATGAACGCCTATCACAGCTTTTTTACAACTTCCTTAAACCTGCATTTGTTTCAGTGTAAAGATGGTAAGAACAGCAAATCCCTGACCAGAAGTGACCTGGATAAGATGAACCTGAGAGATCCCAAAACTTTGGCCGAAATTGCCAAGAAATTGTAAGTTTTACATGTAGTTTCTCTTTTGATGTACGGCTGCTCTATTAAGGAGGTTATCTTCAGGTTTTTAATTATCACACGTTACCACAGTAAAAACCTACAAGGCATGAGCTGTGTCACACAATTACCACCAAAAGTTGACATTTTAATTAATTCCTAATAACTCTGTTCCTCAGCACGAGAAAGAAGGTCAACAGTCCGACCGAGAGAACAGTTAAATGCACTGACCCGGTTAGTTTCTTAGTTACTTAGTAGACACACTACTACTATAACAGTACGTATTTAGGTACAGTTTGTAGTACGTATTTAGGTACATCTTGCATATGAGCTAGGTTTTAACTTTATCAGCCCTCTATTTAATCAATTGTCGGTTAATTTTATCGTTTTAACAGTGATTGATTCGTATTGGAAGGCTGGTGTCTAATCGCTGAAGTACCAGCTATCCAACCCGATTGGTTACTGTAGTCTAGCCTAGACTGACAATTAACTTACAATTTAACAGGATTGTTCGAAGATGTTTAAGGATCATATCGGATTACGGAAACATCTGTTATCTCACGCCCCTAAAGTGCACGTGTGCGCGGAGTGTGGTAAGGCGTTCAAGGAGAGTTCTAAGCTGAAGCGACATGCTCTGGTCCACACTGGAGAAAAGCCCTTTCAGGTGAAGATTTCCTTCACTATTTAACCTTGGAATTTGTATCCATCAAAGTTTATCGAAATTGGTAGAGTATTACGGGATATCTCATATCGGCACTGCACGGAATTCCGACACCGCACGAAATCTTTCAATTCCTAATTTATAAGGAATTCCATGTGCAAGGAATTTAGGTAAAGAAGGGCTTGTAACTGAGGCTCTCCTTGATAGTTCATTCACGTAACCGGTTATATGTTAACAGTAATCACTCGTGCAAAGAAACAGTGGTGTTAGGGGTAGGATGGCAGAGGGTAACTATTCATTCTTTTCAATCTGTTCAAGAAACAATATACGTGTGTTTGATGTGGGCCTGTTATTTCAGTTACAGTTCCACAATACCGCAACCCATATTAATGGGGTTTAAGTTGATCCGCACCATATCATATTACTATCATGCAGTATATCAACATTATTATACAATATCCATCCCATCCTACACATACATAGCTTGTTATTTTAAATTATTGCATTATATAGATTATCATCATGGTGTCAGATTTTTGCAGATTTTTGTCGAACCATCTTAAATTATAATACTGGTGATTTGAAATGGTTGGCTTGGTATTTTTGCGGGCCCCACACTTGACATTACAGAATTTGTTTCTTACCCTTAGCTTTAAGATTCCAAAACCATGTTGAATTTAACTCGAATTTTTAACCAAAATTCACTACTAGCGATAACAAAAAAAGCTAAAAAAATCAAATTTCACACTTTTACTCAAGTCAAGCGCTGATAAACGGTTAACGGTGAATTTCCATTATTCACACTTAGAGGCAACTTTTGGTACCAAATTTATCAAAATCAGAGACAACAAATTCTGTGCCAGCTCATGGCGCTTATTACATAGCAGTGGCGTAGGACTGATGAAAAGTTTGAAAATTAGAAATTTTCAGAAAATGTGTTATTGGACTGCCGATCTGGGGAGCAACCTAGGGCCCTCTATATATTCATGCCCATTGTAGGCTACATCCCCGATCCCCGAGACTTCGTCTTACTTTCGTCTGGTTTGCACTCTCTCTTCATACCAAGTTACTAGCTAGGTAACAAGGTAATCGAGACAGTTTTCAACGTAACAACGATTTCAGCCGGTTCGGACAAATCTTTGTTCTAACCATTTGAACAACAAATCAGTGCACTGCCATCTGTACGCGCCCTCACACACTGTTCTTAAACCAGAGTTAGCTTTATACCAACATAGTTCACGAAATATTTACTTGTATGTACCCCTAATCATCGAATTACCACCCAATTTCACGCTATTACAACTCCCTGCAACTCCACTGCAACTCCAAGCTCTTAATTACGCCTTATATGGATGTGTAATTAGCTTTGCAAATATCACGTGCTAGATGCAGCTTTTAATTACGCCTTATATGGTGCGTAATCGGGTCTGCATGATAGCTCAATGTCACGCGCTATATATCCAACCAGTAAACGCGCTCAATCGATATCTCGTGACTGTCACGTGACAGCTATCCAAGGAAATTATCTATATGGCGCCTCCGGTGTAAACTAGGAAAGAGCTAGTTTGAGCTTTAAATAGGCAGGACACCGCTAATTCTGCAGCTGAAATTTATAACTTCTACCATCACTCAAGCAGGTGGCGGTGAAGTTGAAAGTCAGCCTGTGTGAGCGTGTTAAATCACTCCTTATGCTACATTGTCCCGGTCACTAAGTACTCCCTGTACTAGACGTAGTAATAATAATAAACTATAATAATAATAATAAACTATGATATAAGTTATTATAATAACTATGGTAACAATCTTTTGCCGTCCAGTTCATCTATTCCAAAGAGACCTTGTTTTCATGATTTTAAGATTTCATGCCGAAACACTGCTTATCATATTAATCACTAGCAACACTCAAAAACTCATTGTAACTCAAGCTCACTCCGAATTCTATTGTTGATCTCATCTCAGTGCTTTCATGAGGGGTGTGACAGCCCGGTCACACCCCTCATGACATATATAAATGGTACGAAAGTCGGCGGTTTTTCGAAAAAAAATTAGGTCACCATCATTACATTATTTTCCCCAAATTATTTTTCACGCATTTTCCTTATATATTAATTATGAATTTATCGATTTACTATCAACTAATCAATATAGTAAGTTATTAATATGAATCATAAAACAATTAATGAACACTAGTATTCGATTATGAATCGCTTCAAAAATGATTTTTGACACGTTCCATTAAAAATAAGCAAGCTCTGTCACTACTTTATTGGCCACGGCGGTGAAATTTCGGGAGTAGTGGAAGATAACAAACACTACCGGTGTCCTATACCCTCTGGAGGATTATAAGTTAAATTGAGGCTAACTTTCAAAGGCTCCGGAGAAATTTAAAAAAAGATGAAACAGCTGATCAGAGAAGATCTTTGTATTTAATTTTCTCAAATATTGGGTTGGTTGTAAGGATGCTGTATTCACAAACTTTTCAGATTAGTTTTTTTTGTCTTTAATGAGTTTATAATTTCAGAGATAGATTTTAACGAGGAGGAGCGATCTGAGGTAAGTTTTAAAATTTCTTTTAATTGGTTGATTGTTCCAACCATTTTAGTATGAAATTTCAAAGCTTTTGGCATGCAGTAAAATGTAGTCACTGCACCATGTATTTATGTATTTGCAGCTGTCAAAATTAATTCTAGCTAATCCCAGTGAGGGTAGTGTTTACACATGAACGCCTATCACAGCTTTTTTACAACTTCCTTAAACCTGCATTTGTTTCAGTGTAAAGATGGTAAGAACAGCAAATCCCTGACCAGAAGTGACCTGGATAAGATGAACCTGAGAGATCCCAAAACTTTGGCCGAAATTGCCAAGAAATTGTAAGTTTTACATGTAGTTTCTCTTTTGATGTACGGCTGCTCTATTAAGGAGGTTATCTTCAGGTTTTTAATTATCACACGTTACCACAGTAAAAACCTACAAGGCATGAGCTGTGTCACACAATTACCACCAAAAGTTGACATTTTAATTAATTCCTAATAACTCTGTTCCTCAGCACGAGAAAGAAGGTCAACAGTCCGACCGAGAGAACAGTTAAATGCACTGACCCGGTTAGTTTCTTAGTTACTTAGTAGACACACTACTACTATAACAGTACGTATTTAGGTACAGTTTGTAGTACGTATTTAGGTACATCTTGCATATGAGCTAGGTTTTAACTTTATCAGCCCTCTATTTAATCAATTGTCGGTTAATTTTATCGTTTTAACAGTGATTGATTCGTATTGGAAGGCTGGTGTCTAATCGCTGAAGTACCAGCTATCCAACCCGATTGGTTACTGTAGTCTAGCCTAGACTGACAATTAACTTACAATTTAACAGGATTGTTCGAAGATGTTTAAGGATCATATCGGATTACGGAAACATCTGTTATCTCACGCCCCTAAAGTGCACGTGTGCGCGGAGTGTGGTAAGGCGTTCAAGGAGAGTTCTAAGCTGAAGCGACATGCTCTGGTCCACACTGGAGAAAAGCCCTTTCAGGTGAAGATTTCCTTCACTATTTAACCTTGGAATTTGTATCCATCAAAGTTTATCGAAATTGGTAGAGTATTACGGGATATCTCATATCGGCACTGCACGGAATTCCGACACCGCACGAAATCTTTCAATTCCTAATTTATAAGGAATTCCATGTGCAAGGAATTTAGGTAAAGAAGGGCTTGTAACTGAGGCTCTCCTTGATAGTTCATTCACGTAACCGGTTATATGTTAACAGTAATCACTCGTGCAAAGAAACAGTGGTGTTAGGGGTAGGATGGCAGAGGGTAACTATTCATTCTTTTCAATCTGTTCAAGAAACAATATACGTGTGTTTGATGTGGGCCTGTTATTTCAGTTACAGTTCCACAATACCGCAACCCATATTAATGGGGTTTAAGTTGATCCGCACCATATCATATTACTATCATGCAGTATATCAACATTATTATACAATATCCATCCCATCCTACACATACATAGCTTGTTATTTTAAATTATTGCATTATATAGATTATCATCATGGTGTCAGATTTTTGCAGATTTTTGTCGAACCATCTTAAATTATAATACTGGTGATTTGAAATGGTTGGCTTGGTATTTTTGCGGGCCCCACACTTGACATTACAGAATTTGTTTCTTACCCTTAGCTTTAAGATTCCAAAACCATGTTGAATTTAACTCGAATTTTTAACCAAAATTCACTACTAGCGATAACAAAAAAAGCTAAAAAAATCAAATTTCACACTTTTACTCAAGTCAAGCGCTGATAAACGGTTAACGGTGAATTTCCATTATTCACACTTAGAGGCAACTTTTGGTACCAAATTTATCAAAATCAGAGACAACAAATTCTGTGCCAGCTCATGGCGCTTATTACATAGCAGTGGCGTAGGACTGATGAAAAGTTTGAAAATTAGAAATTTTCAGAAAATGTGTTATTGGACTGCCGATCTGGGGAGCAACCTAGGGCCCTCTATATATTCATGCCCATTGTAGGCTACATCCCCGATCCCCGAGACTTCGTCTTACTTTCGTCTGGTTTGCACTCTCTCTTCATACCAAGTTACTAGCTAGGTAACAAGGTAATCGAGACAGTTTTCAACGTAACAACGATTTCAGCCGGTTCGGACAAATCTTTGTTCTAACCATTTGAACAACAAATCAGTGCACTGCCATCTGTACGCGCCCTCACACACTGTTCTTAAACCAGAGTTAGCTTTATACCAACATAGTTCACGAAATATTTACTTGTATGTACCCCTAATCATCGAATTACCACCCAATTTCACGCTATTACAACTCCCTGCAACTCCACTGCAACTCCAAGCTCTTAATTACGCCTTATATGGATGTGTAATTAGCTTTGCAAATATCACGTGCTAGATGCAGCTTTTAATTACGCCTTATATGGTGCGTAATCGGGTCTGCATGATAGCTCAATGTCACGCGCTATATATCCAACCAGTAAACGCGCTCAATCGATATCTCGTGACTGTCACGTGACAGCTATCCAAGGAAATTATCTATATGGCGCCTCCGGTGTAAACTAGGAAAGAGCTAGTTTGAGCTTTAAATAGGCAGGACACCGCTAATTCTGCAGCTGAAATTTATAACTTCTACCATCACTCAAGCAGGTGGCGGTGAAGTTGAAAGTCAGCCTGTGTGAGCGTGTTAAATCACTCCTTATGCTACATTGTCCCGGTCACTAAGTACTCCCTGTACTAGACGTAGTAATAATAATAAACTATAATAATAATAATAATAAACTATGATATAAGTTATTATAATAACTATGGTAACAATCTTTTGCCGTCCAGTTCATCTATTCCAAAGAGACCTTGTTTTCATGATTTTAAGATTTCATGCCGAAACACTGCTTATCATATTAATCACTAGCAAGCAACACTCAAAAACTCATTGTAACTCAAGCTCACTCCGAATTCTATTGTTGATCTCATCTTAGTGCTTTTATGAGGGGTGTGACAGCCCGGTCACGGAGCATCTTGTTCGCATAAAGGAGCAGAAAGGGATTAACAAGACAATGAAGGGACGAGCTCATCTCTCCATACACTAAGAACTCTGGTGGCACTCCTGGTGATTTGAAATGGTGAAGTGGTGGGTCCCACACTTGACATTACAGACTTTGTTTCTTACCCTTAGCTTTAAGTACATACATACACATTACACATACATGAATTTGAATAGGTCTCCTCTTAGTCGTTGGAGTGGCCTGCATCACACACATCCCTTGTACGGCGTAACAGGTTCCTCCATTCCACTCGGTTCAGTGCTAACTGACGCACTGCATCTCGTGATGCTCTAAACAGGAGTCCATGTGATGTTCATTCGGTAGAAATGTTCATCCCCATATAAGGAGATATTGAAGCTAGGTAGGTTGAAACATTTCTGTGAGTAGCTAATACGCTCTTGCGGGAAGGTATCTTTACATGTTGTAGTCACAACTAGACGTGACTAGAACATGTAAGATATCACGAGATTCAGCCGGCTGAATCTCGTGATACCTCAGTCAGAATAATAATACTCTGCCAGTCGGAAACATTTATGTGAGTAGATAGATCTACATTCCACGTAGGTATCTTAACATGTTCAATTTGTTCATGTCACCATTCAGTACAAGTCAGTACAGGTCGGAATTACGATTTCCGTTCAGAAACAATTACATTGGAAAAATATCAGCAAACATCTATCTATATATAATATAATCTCAATGGGGGAGCACTCATTCACATTGCGGTCTGGTTGGACTGTTGAGAGAGTTCATACTTTCATACGACAATTTAATGCGTGTTTTCAAATATAATAGGCGGGCTTATATTTTTGCATTTCAACTGCGATAGTGAAGATCCGGCCGTAGGCACGGGTTACATTAGTTCTAGAATAAAGTTTATAATTTACTAACAACGTGATTTCAGTGCTCGTTCGAGGGATGCGGCAAGAGATTTTCCCTAGACTTCAACCTGCGGACCCACGTTAGGATTCACACAGGGGACCGGCCCTATCACTGTCCCTTTGACTTTTGCAGCAAACGCTTTGCCCAGTCCACCAACCTGAAGGCCCACATTCTGACCCATGCTAAACACAAACCATCCTAGCCATTATCCATCCGGAGACTATTTATTAACTTTCTGTAGCGCATTACCAAGTCAGCGTTTATTCTGCACAATGGAAGCAACAAGATCTGATCATGATTATGGCCATTCCAATGATTTAGATATCATTCTTGATCTTAGTTCCACCAGTATGGTCAATAATAGGGCTGGTCACATGATGTTGTGTGCAGTGCTTGCATACTGTAAATACGTGAACAATACCATTTAGTGTAAATTTAAATTTTTCTTTCGATGAATATACTTGGTTTTTTGATGAAGCATTGGGGCAGTTTCTTTTAAGCTTAAAGATTTACAATTTTTCCAATTAAAATTGAATATTATCCTATATTAGTTATGAAAATGAACACAGTCAGTGTAACTATAACTCATATAATTATAAGTTATCTGATTTTATTAATACATGTCGAACTGTAGTTGTTGTACTGCCATTGGGTACAAATACACACTAGTACATTTATTTGAGTTTACCTCCAATGGGAAAAAGAAGCCGTGTTTGTAAGTTAGATCTTGTTTTTGGTTTCTTTCAAGAATGTTTTTGTGAAATATTGAAATCTTACTCATCGGCCTCAGAAAGACTTTTAAGAAAATTGTAAAATTTGAACGATTGGTAAAATTAGAATCATGAATTTATCAAGTGTATTAATAATAACCATCCAATATTCGAAACAAATTGAAAATTCTTATTAAATTACTGTCAAGAAATGTAATAATAATTAGTTCAGACAATTACATTATTTTACAGTTCAAAAGACGTTACCAGTATCTAAGTCTATTATTTCGCTGGGGACTCGCATGAAGGCATCATCACATGCAACGTCCATTTTAGGGTCGATGAGATTTGTTATTTTTTGTCATGTTGCTATATATAAGAAGTGTTAACTGTATTTGTTGTCATTCAACTTCACTCAACTATTTGTATTATTATATTTGTATTATAGTCAGTTGCATGTCGATGTTGAGATTAATTAATAAAATGAAATTTATATCTATAACAGTGCACCAAGTTTAAACTTACAGCACAATACATATTGGCTCCTGTAGTTAGTTTCAAGGTCAAATTAAATGAGATGTTGGAACCATGGTGGGAAATTGCAAGCTAAAAAAAATCTAATTTCACACTTTTACACTGGGAGTGGCCAAAAAAGTTCAAACCTCAAAAATTATCATAAAAAGTAAAACAATACAGTAAAACCCCGATATACCGATTAGTATTACCGCACCTCGACTCTCAGACTCTGCCCCTTTCTCCCAAATGGGACAAAAAGGAGGAACAAAAAGGACAAGAACACTATAAAATGTGTATTGTATTTGTTGTCATCCAACTTCACTCGGCTATTTGTATTATTTTTCACTCAATTGGTTTCATGTCCAATGTCCATGTTGAGACTAATTATTATTAATTGAATGCCTACAAATCAGAAATGTTTGACAAATAGGCTTCAAAATAAAATGTATGGATAACAATGCACCAAGTTAAAACTTAAACCATGGTATTGGCTCCTAATTGGTTAGTTCTTTTTTACCGTCAAAAAAATTCCCGAAACCGTTCAAAATAATATTAGTAAAAAAGTAATCAGTGCAGGAGAAAATATATCGCTAAAAATCAATTGCCACGGACCACCGTTGAAATAATATAATTGTTATAATAAGTAAGTATACATAATACCACTCTCAAAGGCCAATTCTTATGTCTTAATTGCTGATCTAAATTTTTGACTGTCATGGTCAAATAATGACTATAAGATGTTAAAAAATTGTAAGCTAAAAAAACCAAACTCAAATTTTTACACTTTCAATAACCTTGAGGCTAGGGGTGGCGAAAAATTCCAAACTTCAAAAATCAGTATAATCATAAAAATAATGCCAATAGTTCGTCCTTATTTTATTTTCTTATTTTGCCATACTCACAGATCCTTTCACTGGTCATGAGGGGTCGTTCACATATTACGTAATCACTTTTTTGGTTATTCCCCCCTCCGGCCTCCGTAATCAGTTTTACACGCCATAGCAATTGTGTTAAGATTACACCAGCACAATCATTTGGAACCCCCTCAGTGATTACGAAATATGTGAACGACCCCATAAAATAATGTTTAGTCGCGTCCTCCTAGCTCTTTAAGTTATGCATCTTGGTCGACATAAATATCCTCCTCGTCTACACAGCAAGTTGGTGGTTTTGGAGGGGGTCCAGTCGGGAGATCTCGATCTTGCAGTCCTCCCATGATCATCCTCCCGGGTTCCTTTGTCTTTCTCCAGGATGTCCGGATCACAATTGGCATTGCAACGAGGCAAGCCAGAACTGCCACCAGAATCACAATCAGTAGTGCTGTCGTCACGGGATGAGGATTTCCAAGTTTGGTCTTTTTGTCCGGTATTTGCGGAGCTGGTGTCTGCTTGTTGTTTTGGGTGATATTATTCTTTGTGGTTGATGGTGGAGCGGTGTTGTTCGATGGCACTGCGGTAGTCATGTTGGTTGAAGGTTCCTCTGAGTGGTGTTTCTTTGTCTCAGTGCAGTTGTTGCCGGCTGGGTTCCAGAGATAGTTGTCCTGACACTCACAAGCAGAGTGGTCGAGAGAGGCGGTGCTGTTTTCAGGACAATTTGTACAAGATGTGCTGTTTCGAACACTGAAAGTGTTCCCACCACATTCCCTACACTCTGTACCTTCCTTGTGTAGCCCTGGAAAGCAGACACAGTTACTTGAACCAGGGGTGGAGGTAGCTCCGTTAGGACACTGGGTGCAGTTCACTGAGTTAGCAGCACTGTACTTGTACGCTGGACAAGGTATACAGTGACCCCCCGACCAGTACAGGCCAGCTTCGCAGGAACATCTACCCACAGTACCAGTTGCGTTTACACTGTTTGTTGGGCAGGGGATGCAGCCGTCAGCTGTTGCATAGAAGTTTCCAGAGCATCCGCAAGAGATCTTGTTGTAATTACTTGTGCTATCACAACCAATAGATGAATTGTAAGTACAAGTTGGGTTACAGCCCCTCAGTTTGTACATTCCTGAGGAGTAGTGAGTGCGGAACGGATAGAGGCTGCCTGTGCTTACCGAAGAGACAAGTTTGTGGTATTTTAGCTTCTTACAGATCTGGAGAGAAGTACCTGGGTCGGGATACCCATAGTAAGTAGAATAGCGTCGACATACGTTTTTACGAGCTGCTCCGTTGATACTCACCATCAGTAACCCTTCGTAGGAGCGCTCACTGTCTGTCTTCCATATCGAAAACAGTTCTGCTGCACCTTGGAAAACAGAACTTGCTAATTTTCAAGTGATATTGTTGCAATTCAGTTTTAAAATCAGAGGGACTCTCTTCTTTATTTTGCAATTTGAAAAGATCGATGATGATACAGAGAAGGAAAACAAACACTTTCATGTTGAGTAATGTTTACAAATCGGACTGTGCAGTGGTTAATTGATTGAGGGGGGGGGGGGGGGGAGGGGGGGGGGGCTGACCATATTAAAGTATATTAAAGTATATCCCCGCCCCTAAATCGGGAATAAAACCTATATTTTAATATACTTTAATCTACTTAAATATACCCAAAATTAGTCGAGCTATATTCTTCGTTTAGATTTGCAAGATAAGCCTGTTTTTTGACTAGTACATGAATTTACATCCAGTTTGGTCAAAAAATGGTGAGTTATGAGCTTTAAACCATACGCCCATATTTAGGTAACCGCACCAAATTTGAAAGCTTTTGCCCAAAATTCGATCAAATTTCAATATTTTTGAATGAGACTAACTTTATGTGAAAGATATAGCTCAATATCTGCTGAATAGTGGATACTTAGTAAAAAGACCTCCATGAACAAAATTGCACTTATAATATCTCGGTTTGGGATACTAGCCAAAATGACTTAATTAAAATTGAAATAACTCCATCAGTTTTCAATATTTTTGCATGAAATTTTCGGAATCGATTAAGAATTGCATTTCAAGCTTATTGTGGTCAGCGATTTTTGATTTAGGCCTCCAAAAAGATAGGGATATATTAAAGTATATTAAAGTATATTAAAGTTTATTAAAGTATATTAAAGTATATTAATTCTTAAAGTATATTAAAGTATATTAAAATATATTAAAGTATATCCCCGCCCCTAAATCGGGAGAAAAACCTACATTTTAATATACTTTAATATGGTCATCCCACCCCCCCCGCCCCCCCCCCCCCCAAAAACTTAGTAAACTTACTTGCTATCATGATCATCAAGAGAAGGTATACAAACACATTCATATTGACTACCGACTACCGAGTTGTTGAAAAGTTGACGAATTGAAATAAAGTTGTAACCTCGAATGGATGTCTGTTATATGTGAATGGGAGGAACCCGTTCCTTAGCTGATTTACTTCTCGACCCAAAATATGGTATTGAGTAGGTGTTAGTACTAGTAACTTAGTACTACTACTACAGACCATGGCTTGGTATAGTATAGTATGCTATGTTAAACTAAGCATGCTACACTTACACGAAATCAGCCAATAGTTCACAGATGGTTCGAAATCAGTACAAACACGGTAGTTAAAATACAGGGAATACATTTACAATAGTATCTAGTACGTCCTCCAATTATTCCTGGTCCAAATCTTTTTGTAGATTCCATTCCAACAGTGAGTTGTTGGTGATGGCGGTGTATCCTTTGGTTGGCGGGGTATCGGGAAATAGCTCCTAAAATCGAGCAAGTGATACCTTGAAGGGTTCTAGAGCAGTAAGGCTGTTTACTTGTCGTGGGAGGAGGTTCCATAGTCTCGCTGCGTTCCAAAGGAGATCTCGAAATGACTACACGCACACTTTACATTGTATCCTGAGGTTTCGGGAACATTTTATATTCGTCATTCACAGCAATAACCGATCAGCATCCACTATTGAGCAATCAAACTCCAGAACCACTGTCACGTGTCAAAGAATATGCCTCCCCACCTGATTTGTATCCTTGGACCTTGCTTATTTGAAATGTCCCCATTCATTATTAACTAACTTCTCATTAATCCGTTCTCATCGTCGGACTTTATCTCGCTGTAACAGTGTATCTACAAGTTGTTCTACTAAAATTGTAAGAAATTGTAAGAATTTCATTAAAGTATCATTTCAATTAGTTCTTATGAACCAGAATGAACTGAACTTACTTTTGCACTATTTTGCATCTGAATTTGGGGAGACATCTGACATTCCCTTTCTTCTTCCCTTAATTCTTCATTCTTGTCACATCTACGATTCTACTGTATCTACGCACCACTTTGTAACCTAGAGCAGGCGCGAGTGTCTGTAAATTGTACAAACCAAAAGTTTCCTTTTGCGCGGCTCAATATAATAACATCAATTACATGATGTTAATTATATTTCATAGCATCGACATGACATATTACAAGTATTGAAGACACTTCTGACTTCATCTGTAATATCGGATCCAAATAAAAATGTACCTTACGAGACATATATAAATGGTACCAAAGTCGGCGGTTTTTCGAAAAAAAATTAGGTCACCATCATTGCATTATTTTCCCCAAATTATTTTTCACGCATTTTCCTTAATTATGAATTTATCGATTTACTATCAACTAATCAATATAGTAAGTTATTAATATGAATCATAAAACAATTAATGAACACTAGTATTCGATTATGAATCGCTTTAAAAATGATTTTTGACACGTTCCATTATAAATAAGCAAGCTCTGTCACTACTTTATTGGCCACGGCGGTGAAATTTCGGGAGTAGTGGAAGATAACAAACACTACCGGTGTCCTATACCCTCTGGAGGATTATAAGTTAAGTTGAGGCTAACTTTCAAAGGCTCCGGAGAAATTTAAAAAAAGATGAAACAGCTGATCAGAGAAGATCTTTGTATTTAATTTTCTCAAATATTGGGTTGGTTGTATTAGGATGCTGTATTCACAAACTTTTCAGATTAGTTTTTTTGTCTTTAACGAGTTTATAATTTCAGAGATAGATTTTAACGAGGAGGAGCGATCTGAGGTAAGTTTTAAAATTTCTTTCAATTGTTTGATTGTTCCAACCATTTTAGTATGAAATTTCAAAGCTTCTGGCATGCAGTAAAATGTAGTCACTGCACCATGTATTTATGTATTTGCAGCTGTCAAAATTAATTCTAGCTAATCCCAGTGAGGGTAGTGTTTACACATGAACGCCTATTACAGCTTTTTTACAATTTCCTTAAACCTGCATTTGTTTCAGTGTAAAGATGGTAAGAACAGCAAATCCCTGACCAGAAGTGACCTGGATAAGATGAACCTGAGAGATCCCAAAACTTTGGCCGAAATTGCCAAGAAATTGTAAGTTTTACATGTAGTTTCTCTTTTGATGTACGGCTGCTCTATTAAGGAGGTTATCTTCAGGTTTTTAATAATCAAGCACACTTTACCACAGTAAAAACCTACAAGCTGTGTCACACGATTACCACCAACAGTTGACATTTTAATTAATTCCTAATAACTCTGTCCCTCAGCACGAGAAAGAAGGTCAACAGTCCGACCGAGAGAACAGTTAAATGCACTGACCCGGTTAGTTCCTTAGTTACTTAGTAGATAGTACGTATTTAGTTACTTAGTAGACAGTACGTATTTAGGTACATCTTGCATATAATGAGCTGGGTTTTAACTTTATCAGCCCTCGATTTAATAAATTGTCGGTTAATATAATCGTTTTAACAGCGATTGATTCGTATTGGAAGGCTGGTGTCTAATCGCTGAAGTACCAGCTATCCAACCCGATTGGTTACTGTAGTCTAGCCTAGACTGACAATCAACTTACCATTTAACAGGATTGTTCGAAGATGTTTAAGGATCATATCGGATTACGGAAACATCTGTTATCTCACGCCCCTAAAGTGCACGTGTGCGCGGAGTGTGGTAAGGCGTTCAAGGAGAGTTCTAAGCTCAAGCGACATGCTCTGGTCCACACTGGAGAAAAACCCTTTCAGGTGAAGATTTCCTTCACTATTTAACCTTGGAATTTTTATCCATCAAAGTTTATCGAAATTGGTGGAGTATTACGGGATATCTCATATCGGCACTGCACGGAATTCCGACACCGCACGAAATCTTTCAATTCCTAATTTATAAGGAATTCCATGTGCAAGGAATTTAGGTAAAGAAGGGCTTGTAACTGAAGCTCTCCTTGATAGTTCATTCACGTACCCGGTCATTATGTTAACAGTAATCACTCGTGCAAAGAAACAGTGGGGTTAGGGGTAGGATGGCAGAGAGTAACTATATTCATTTTTTTTTTCAAGCTGTTCAAGAAACAATATACGTGTGTTTCATGTGGCTCGTTCATTCAGTTACAGTTCCACAATACCGCAACCCATATTAATGGGGTTTAAGTTGATCCCCACCATATCATATTACTATCATGCAGTATATCAACATTATTATACAATATCCATCCCATGCTACACATACATAGCTTGTGTTATTTTAAATTATTGCATATAGATTATCATCATGGTGTCAGATTTTTGCAGATTTTTGTCGAACCATCTTTAATTATCATACATACATACATATACACATACATGAATAGGTCTCCTATTAGTCGTTGGAGTGGCCTGCATCACACACATCCCTTGTACGGCGTAACAGGTTCCTCCATTCCACTCGGTTCAGTGCTAACTGACGCACTGCATCTCGTGATGCTCTAAACAGGAGTCCATGTGATGTTCATTCGGTAGAAATGTTCATCCCCATATAAGGAGATATTGAAGCTAGGTAGGTTGAAACATTTCTGTGAGTAGCTAATACGCTCTTGCGGGAAGGTATCTTTACATGTTCTAGTCACCGCTAGACGTGACTAGAACATGTAAGATATCACGAGATTCAGCCGGCTGAATCTCGTGATACCTCAGTCAGAATAATAATACTCTGCCAGTCGGAAACATTTATGTGAGTAGATAGATCTACATTCCACGTAGGTATCTAAACATGTTCAATTTGTTCATGTCACCATTCAGTACAAGTCAGTACAGGTCGGAATTACGATTTCCGTTCAGAAACAATTACATGGAAAAATATCAGCAAACATCTATCTATATTCTATATATATAATCTCAATGAATCTGTGTGTGTGTTTTTGAAATTTCAGAGCGGCTTAATTAAGAAAACGGTAAGAGTTACGGGATTGGTTTTTTCGGTATAGTGCCGACAAAACTCTGACGAAGCCAATAAGCAATTAAAAAAAACGGCTGGTGGTAAGTGGTTTAATTGATGGTTTTGTACCACAAATGTCAGATTCCCGTACTGTATTGCGACACGTACCCTAGTGCGAAAACCTCCAAGATCGACACTGTCGCACTACAGTACGCTACCTGGACTGTAGTGCGGCAGTCCATTTCCAAGGCCTAAAGGTACCATCAATGACAAGATGAGGAGCCTCAGTCAAAAGATCCATGTGATTCCACCGTGCCGAGCAGGAAAGATCTTCTCCGCCGAGTAGGTAGAATCCCAAAGCAGGAAGGTTTCACCCTTGTTCGTTCTGATGTACGATCTGCCAGGGAGCGGGTTTTGACACGGCTTCGAAGGAGAGTGGGGCCGGGGGGGCCGGGGGGAGCACTCATTCACATTGCGGTCTGGTTGGACTGTTGAGAGAGTTCATACTGTCATACGACAATTTAATGCGTGTTTTCAAATATAATAGGCGGGCTTATATTTTTGCATTTCAACTGCGATAGTGAAGATCCGGCCGTAGGCACGGGTTACATTAGTTCTAGAATAAAGTTTCTAATTTACTAACAACGTGATTTCAGTGCTCGTTCGAGGGATGCGGCAAGAGATTTTCCCTAGACTTCAACCTGCGGACCCACGTCAGGATTCACACAGGGGACCGGCCCTATCACTGTCCCTTTGACTTTTGCAGCAAACGCTTTGCCCAGTCCACCAACCTGAAGGCCCACATTCTGACCCATGCTAAACACAAACCATCCTAGCCATTATCCATCCGGAGACTATTTATCAACTTTCTGTAGCGCTGTAGCGCATTACCAAGTCAGCGTTTATTCTGCACAATGGAAGCAACAAGATCTGATCATGATTATGGCCATTCCAATGATTTAGATATCATTCTTGATCTTAGTTCCACCAGTATGGTCAATAATAGGGCTGGTCACATGATGTTGTGTGCAGTGCTTGCATACTGTAAATACGTGAACAATACCATTTAGTGTAAATTTACATTTTTCTTTCCATGAATATACTTGGTTTTTTGATGAAGCATTGCGGCAGTTTCTTTTAAGCTTAAAGATTTACAATTTTTCCAATTAAAATTGAATATTATCCTATATTAGTTATGAAAATGAACACAGTTAGGGTAACTATAACTCATATTTATAAGTTATCTGATTTTATGAATACATGTCGAACTGTAGTATTGTAGGTTGTACTGCCACTGGGTACATATACACACTAGTACATTTATTTGAGTTTACCTCCAATGGGAAAAAGAAGCCGTGTTTGTAAGTTAGATCTTGTTTTTGGTTTCTTTCAAGAATGTTTTTGTGAAATATTGAAATCTTACTCATCGGCCTCAGAAAGACTTTTAAGAAAATTGTAAAATTTGAACGATTGGTAAAATTAGGATGAATTTATCAAGTGTATTACTAATAACCATCCAATATTCGAAACAAATTGAAAATTCTTATTAAATTACCGTCAAGAAATGTAATAATAATAAGTTCAGACAATTACATTATTTTACAGTTCAAAAGACGTTACCAGTATCTAAGTCTATTATTTCGCTGGGGACTCGCATGAAGGCATCATCACATGCAACGTCCATTTTAGGGTCGATGAGATTTGTTGTTTTTTGTCATGTTGCTATATAAGAAGTGTTTACTGTATTTGTTGTCATTCAACTTCACTCAACTATTTGTATTATTATAGTCAGTTGCATGTCGATAGATAGTTTCAAGGTCAAATTAAATGAGATGTTGGAAAATTGCAAGCTAAAAAATCTAATTTCGCACTTTTACTCTAGGATCAGGAGTGGCCAAAAAAGTTCAAACCTCAAAAATTATCATAAAAACAATACAGTAAAACTAAAACCCCGATACACCGCACCCCGACTCTCAGACTCTGCCCCTTTTTTCCAAATGGGACAAAAACGAGGAACAAAAAGGACATGAACACGATAAAGTGTTTATTGTATTTGATGTCATCCAACTTCACTTAACTATTTGTATCATCTTGCACTCAATTGGTTTCATGTTGAGACTAATTATTATTAATTGAATGCCTACAAATCAGAAATGTTTGACAAATAGGCTTCAAAATAAAATGTATGGGTAACAATGCACCAAGTTAAAACTTAAACCATGGTATTGGGCCGCGCTTAGACTGTCATTCCGCCGAATATTTATGAACATAATAGCCTGATGTCCCCAGGTAAAAACCATGGTATTGGCTCCTAATTGGTTAGTTCTATTTTACCGTCAAACAAAATTCCCAAAACCGTTCAAAATAATATTATTATTAGTAAACCAGTAATCAGTACAGGAGCAAATATATCGCTAAAAATCAATTGCCACGGACCACCGTTGAAATAATATAAATATAATTGTTATAATAAATATACATAATACCACTCTCAAAGGCCAATTTTTATTGGCCTTTGAGAGTCTTAATTGCTGATATAAATTTTTGACTGTCATGGTCAAATAATGAGATGTTGAAAAATCGCAAGCTAAAAAAAATCAAACTCTATTTTTCACACTTTCAATAACCCTGAGGCTAGGATATAGGAGTGGTAAAAAAGTCAAAAAAGTCATGATAATTATAAAAAGTAAAAAAATGCCAATAGTTCGTCCTTATTTTATGTCACCATTTTCTTATTTTGCCATAGTGCCATACTCACAGATCCTTTCACTGGGCATGAGGGGTCGTTCACATATTACGTAATCACTTTTTTGGTGATTCCCCCCTCCGTATAGTAATCAGTTTTACACGTTATAGCAATTGTGTTAAGATTACACCAGCACAATCATTTGGAACCCCCTCAGTGATTACGAAATATGTAAACGACCCCATAAAATAATGTTTAGTCGCGTCCTCCTAGCTCTTTAAGTTATGCATCTTGGTCGACATAAATGCCCTCCTCGTCTACACAGCAAGTTGGTGGTTGTGGAGGCGGTCCAGTCGGGAGATCTCGATCTTGCAGTCCTCCCATGATCATCCTCCCGGGTTCCTTTGTCTTTCTCCAGGATGTCCGGATCACAATTGCAACGAGGCAAGCCAGAACTGCCACCAGAATCACAATCAGTAGTGCTGTCGTCACGGGATGAGGATTTCCAAGTTTGGTCTTTTTGTCCAGTATTTGCGGAGCTGCTGTCTGCTTGTTGTTTTGGGTGATATTATTCTTTGTGGTTAATGGTTGAGCGGCGTTGTTCGATGGCACTCTGGTAGTCATGTTGGTTGAAGGTTCCTCTGAGTGGTGTTTCTCTGTCTCAGTGCAGTTGTTGCCAGCTGGGTTCCAGAGATAGTTGCCCAGACACTCACAAGCAGAGTGGTCGAGAGAGGCGGTGCTGTTTTCAGGACAATTTGTACAAGATGTGCTGTTCCGAACACTGAAAGTGTTCCCACCACATTCCCTACACTCTGTACCTTCCTTGTGTAGCCCTGGAAAGCAGACACAGTTACTTGAACCAGGGGCGGAGGTGGCTCCGTTAGGACACTGGGTACAGTTCACTGCGTTAGCAGCACTGTACTTGTACGCTGGACAAGGTATACAGTGACCCCCCGACCAGTACAGGCCAGCTTCGCAGGAACATCTACCCACAGTACCAGTTGCGTTTACACTGTTTGTTGGGCAGGGGGTGCAGCCGTTAGCAGTTGCATAGAAGTTTCCAGAGCATCCGCAAGAGATCTTTGTGTAATCAGTGTTCCTATCACAAGCAGTAGATGAACTGTAACTGCAAGTTGGGTTACAGCCCCTCAGGTAGAACATACCTGAGGAGTAGTGAGTGCGGAACGGATAGAGGCTGCCTGTGCTTACCGAAGAGACAAGTTTGTGGAAGCGTAGCTTTTTGCAGATCTGGAGAGAAGTACCTGTGTCGGGATACCAATGGTAAGAAGAATAGTCTCGACATACGTTTTTACGAGCTGCTCCGTTGATACTCACCAGTAGTAACCCTTCGTAGGAGCGCTCACTGTCTGTCTTCCATATCGTAAACTGTTCTGCTGCACCTTGGAAAACAGAACTTGCTAATTTTGAGGTGATATTGTTGCAATTTTAACTTAAAATCAGAGGGACTCTCTTCTTTATTTTGCAATTTAAAATTAAAAGGATTAATGGGTTTTAAAAAATAAATAAACTTACTCGCTATCATAATGATGCAGAGGAGGAAAACAAACACTTTCATGTTGAGTTGTTGACAAATCGAACTGTACGATGGTTAAATGACTCAAATCCTTCATATCATATTAATATTTAATATTATAGAGCCAGGGTGTCGATTATATTATTTGAGTAGGGGACATTTCACGGATTACTATTTAACTGTCGCTCATTGGCTAGAGGAGGTCATGTGACGCAACAATATCTGTGCAACGTCTCAAGTAACCCTGGATAGGTAGTACTCCCTATTGTACTTGAGATCACCTTTACATGGTTCGGAATGTCTCAATCTCATTGTCTCCTTCTGTACGGTTCTGAATGAGTAGAAAACTATTTTATATCCTTACCATAGTGAAGATGTATAAAGGAATGTGGTATTACTATTTGGTCATCGCAATGACTACAATTGCAAGCTAAAAAAAATCAAATTTCACACTTTTCACACTTTTACTCAAGTCATGACACTTTTACTCAAGTCAAGCGCTGATAAACGGTTAACGGTGAATTTTCATTATTCACACTTAGAGGCAACTTTTGGTACCAAATTTATCAAAATCAGAGACAACAAATTCTGTGCCAGCTCATGGCGCTTATTACATAGCAGTGGCGTAGGACTTTCTGAAAAATTAGAAATTTTCAGAAAATGTGTTATTGGACTGCCGATCTGGGGAGCAACCTAGGGCCCTCTATATATTCATGCCCATTGTAGGCTGCATCCCCGATCCCCGAGACTTCGTCTTACTTTCGTCTGGTTTGCACTCTCTCTTCATACCAAGTTACTAGCTAGGTAACAAGGTAATCGAGACAGTTTTCAACGTAACAACGATTTCAGCCGGTTCGGACAAATCTTTGTTCTACCAACTGAACAACAAATCAGTGCACTGCCATCTGTACGCGTCCTCACACACTGTTCTTAAACCAGAGTTAGCTTTATACCAACATAGTTCACGAAATATTTACTTGTATGTACCCCTAATCATCGAATTACCACCCAATTTCACGCTATTACAACTCCCTGCAACTCCCCTACAACACCGAGCTCTTAATTACACCATATATAGATGTGTAATTAGCTTTGCAAATATCACGTGCTAGATGCAGCTCTTAATTACGCCTTATATGGTGCGTAATCGGGTCTGCATGATAGCTCAATATCACGCGCTATATATCCAACCAGTAAACGCGCTCAATCGATATCTCGTGACTGTCACGTGACAGCTATCCAAGGAAATTCTCTATATGGCGCTTCCGGTGGAAACTAGGAAAGAGCTAGTTTGAGCCTTAAATAGGCGGGACACCGCTAACACTTAATCACTTCTACCGTCACTCAAGCAGGTGGCGGTCAAGCTGTAAGTCAGCCTGTGTGCGATTGCTAATCCTGCGATATCAGACACGAGCACACTTCACACATTCTGGAGAGCCTCCCTTTATGGGAGGACTCTTATGGAAATAAAGACCTCAGTAAAGAAGAATTGAAAAGGATTAATGGATTTAACAAAATAAATTAACTTACTCGCTATCATGATGATACAGAGGAGGAAAACAAACACTTTCATGTTGGGTTGTTGACAAATCGAACTGTACTATGGTTAAATGACTCAAATCCTTCATATCATATTAATATTATAAAGCCAGGGTGTCGATTATATTATTTGAGTAGGGGAAATTTCACGGATTACTATTTAACTGTCTCTCATTGGCTAGAGGAGGTCATGTGACGCAACAATATCTGTGCAACGTCTCAAGTAACCCTGGATAGGTAGTACTCCCTATTGTACTTGAGATCACCTTTACATGGTTCGGAATGTCTCAATCTCATTGTCTCCTTCTGTACGGTTCTGAATGAGTAGAAAACTATTTTATATCCTCACCACAGTGAAGATGTATAAAGGAATGTGGTATTACTATTTGGTCATCGCAATGACTACAAAGCCTATTGTATTGCTTTGCTATACATTGCATCCCGAATAAGTAAGATTTGTAATTTAACTCGGCCTCAGAAAGGCTTTTATCTTTAAGCAATTGGTAAAATTAGGATGAATGTATCAAGTGCAAAATTTAGATAACCGCTCAATATTTAAAATCAATTTGAAAATGCTGATTAAATTATTGCCAAAAAAAGTTCAGACAATTATAATATTTTACAGTTCAAAATACTGATAGTTAGATACGCCGCCAGTATCTATACTACTATTAGTATTTACTAATATATCTTAAAGTTTATCATTCCGCTGTACTGGGAACAAGGGAATAATCACAAGCAACGGCCATATAAGGGTCGTTATAAGGGTCCATATAAGGGTCGTTGAGATTAGTTAATTGAATGCTCACAAATCAGCGGAAGAATTCAGGTGGATGAGATTTCTGTGGTCTTCTGTCCGGATTTCTCATGCAGTAAAATTAAACAGGCAGGTAAACACGCCTGATCCAATCAAGTTAAAATCAATCAGCTCGACTTCTTGCTTTCTTCGTTATCTTTGTTTAAAAGCCACAGTTCTAAGTTTAGAGATCCAGCAAACGCTACCCAGGCTATGTACGGTGCAAGCAGGAACGCTGAAATTACAGAGTTGTTTTTTAAAATTCATTTATTATTCGATTCATAGCCTAAGATTATTTGGACCATATTAGTAAATTTGGGTAGAATCAAGAATGCAACACAAGATTCTACTAAAAATGTAGATAGAAAATTCAAGTGATTTTCTATGGCGTTAAGCTTTACAATTTAAAGTAGGTTTTAATTGCTAGGTTATTAAGTGTAACAATGTTACTAGTTACTACAAATGTTACTACTATACCTGCGCTCTTACGGACTCTACCAAAGAGAACAGCAGTTATTATTATCAGTACCCATAAACAGCACAGCTCTATAAACGCCTGTATTGAGCATGGTTATAAATATAACATGGTACACACTTTATTTTAAAAATTGTAGAATTTAAATGTGGCTGTAGTGTCTGACTGTACACTGTAGAGTATAACAGATAAAAACTGTGTAAAATTTAAATTTGAGTAGAAATATATTCAGAGAATCGATCGGGAAAGTCGGGTAGCATTTATATATCAATGACAATAACACCATGAACATCGCCATCATGATTATTGCAATATTAGACCGATGGATTATGAAGGAACTGAAAACATGTTTTGATATATATGTTATAAAAACACAACAAATCACTACTAACTGCCAGCAGGTCTCTAGCTTCCAAGTAGATGAAGACCCAGGAGAAGTTAGCCACCAGCTGTATTGTGTAGAGCGAGAGAGGTAACGCTTGCTTCATGAAACCTCCCCTTCTCCACACCAAGAACGCTGCAATTTTGAATATTCGGTCACGTGATCAAGTTCATGTTTAAAGTTATGAGTTGAACTTACTCGTGGAACAAACTAAGAACTTTGGCAGTTCATTCAATATGGGCAGAGTGATAACGGGAAGAATTTTAGATTATCAATAACAAAACCAATCCTGCAACAAACAAACAACAAACAACAATTAATGTTGTTGTTTGTTTGTTGCAGGGTCCTTTTCGCAGGGCTTTTTAGATTTGTATTTGCTACTGAACAGCTCCTACAACATCTAATCTACAACACCAGTTAAGGTGCAAACTGGATAACTGCGAAGACAGTATTTAATATGCACCACAAGTCACTACCTGCAAAGGACATGAGGAGGTAAAGTGCAGCCCAAACAGGACCAAACACAGAGTTAGGGGGTGTCCAGTCCGGTTTCTCGAGACCTTCGTACCTGAACGAGGAGACTGATTTAAGGTACTTCATGCAGCTCTGACCTAAGTTTAAGTGAAAATTTATCTATTAGTATTTGCCATGATTCAGGATTATATCATGTTGCAAATTTTAACTAGATGTTCAAGCTTAAACGACATTTTGATATGAGGTAAAAGAGCAATTTCTTGATGACATTTGGTTTGAAACAGTTCAATGAATAGAAAAGAATTTCCGCAAAATCGCAATCGAATAAAAATAACATTTATAATATTCTGTATTCTATCTTCAGTAAGCTTCAGTAAGCTTACCAGTCGTCCCCATCCTCAGCCATGGTGAGAGCGGAAGTTGCGAAGCCCCCTCCAAACGTAACCCCCACTATAAACAATAACACCACACAACTCTCCGACACGCTCGGGGCGTGCATCTTGGGGAAAAGAGGGTTCTGGAATAGCAAAAACTGATTATAATTTAACAAGCGGTGTGATAATTTTAGGTAATAAGACTGAGAAATCTAGACAGCTCAATTGAGTGTAGCTGAGAAGAGACAAAGAGAAGAGACAAAGTCTCCTAACAAGAGTATATAATAAGGGTATAAAAACTACAGCAGAGAGCACTAGTTGGGAGATGGTACGTATTTTCATAAAAGGGTGGAGAGTACCTACTAATTGGTTGCGGGTGAAAAAATAAGTCAAAACTGTAAAATTTCGGTCCTGGAAATTTCATCTTCAAAAACTGAAAATGGGACAGAGATTGGGACAACATGATTTTGCAATTTTATTCGGGATTTTGACTCCCAGTACCTCAATTTGGTTTCATACCATCATCAATTAGCTGACTAATTGGTTTCTGGGCAAAATGTTTATCCAATCTGTCAAATTTGTGTTCAGAAAATTTCACATTTGAAAATGGGACAGAATTTTGAAAATACAACTTTTCGTTTTGTTAAGCTTTCTGCTGTGGGCTTCCTCCGACCGAAATCAAACTTCCAGCACCTCAATCGTGTCATAGGCACCTATAGTTGACTTACTAATTGGTTGCAGGTGAAAAAATCAGTAAAAACTGTACAATTTTGGTCATGGAAATTTCATCTTCAAAAACTGAAAATGGGACAGAGATTGGGACAATATGATTTTGCAATTTTATTCGGGATTTTGACTCCCAGTACCTCAATTTGGTTTCATACCATCATCAATTTAAATTAGCTGACTAATTGGTTTCTGGGCAAAAAGTTCATCCAATCTGTCAAATTTGTGTTCAGAAAATTTCACATTTGAAAATGGGACAGAATTTTGAAAATACAACTTTTCGTTTTGTTAAGCTTTCTGCTGTGGGCTTCCTCCGACCGAAATCAAACTTCCAGCACCTCAATCGTGTCATATGGCACCTATAGTTGACTTACTAATTCGTTGCGGGTGAAAAAATCAGTAAAAACTGTAAAATTTCGGTCCTGGAAATTTCATCTTCAAAAACTGAAAATGGGACAGAGATTGGGACAATATGATTTTGCAGTTTTATTCGGGATTTTGACTCCAAGTACCTCAATTTGGTTTCATACCATCATCAATTAGCTGACTTATTGGTTTCTGGGCAAAAAGTTCATCCAATCTGTCAAATTTGTGTTCAGAAAATTTCACATTTGAAAATGGGACAGAATTTTGAAAATACAACTTTTCGTTTTGTTAAGCTTTCTGCTGTGGGCTTCCTCCGACCGAAATCAAACTTCCAGCACCTCAATCGTGTCATATGGCACCTATAGTTGACTTACTAATTGGTTGCGGGTGAAAAAATCAGTAAAAACTGTAAAATTTCGGTCCTGGAAATTTCATCTTCAAAAACTGAAAATTTTAAACTTTCCACTTATCATTTTAAACTTTCCACTTATCATTTTAAACTTTCACTTATCATTTTAAACTTTCATTTCGCCACCTTTTCTTAAGCTCTCTTATCTTTTTTAGATTACACCCTTATTTCAAGTTTTTATAACGGTTTTTTTCAATCATGTACTATAATGCTTATCTAAGATAATTTTTATCCGTTAAAGTTGTGACCTTTTACCCGTTTTTCTAGAACCTTCCTAACGTCTATGCTATTCATAGTTTAACACGTACATTTTATTTACCACGTGATAAGTTTTTACCGGCTACACTTTAGCTGTGCCCATATTTATCGGTTATGTCGAGTATCTTAGGGTACTTTTCTGGTTCTCCGCCACAGAATTCGGATAATAAAAGGACTTTATCTGATGTAAGTGCTAGTAGTTCGCCCTCTGACAAGGATGCTCCAAAACGTCCGAACTTAAACATCTCAGGCTCTCCTATCAAGACCGAAGAGCAGTCCATAGTTAAGCTAATAGAAACCCTGTTTAATAACTTTTCTAATTCGACTGTTTCCAGACTTGATGCCATCTCCGTTAAATTAGAAAGTTTTGATTCTAGATTAGATATTATCTCGTCAAAACTCGATACGTATGATTCCCGAATGTCTAGTATTGAGGAGAGAGCGGGGTCACAACAGCTCGAACTCACCGATTTATCAGACCGTGTCATTTCCTTGGAAAACCTAAATATTGAGCTTGAGGCGAAACTAGATACACTCTCAGGGTCAAACTCAGCTAACTTAGAGTCAGGATGGGAGCCAGTAGGTTCTCCTGAGACCAAAATTGCCTTACTTGGTGATTCTAATTCGGGGGGGAAAATTAAATTCGGACAGGGAAAGGGAACCCTAGGGGCCGCCTTACCGGGATCTGATACCTTTGTAGCTACGGTCGAGAATTTACCAGAGCCAGAAACATATAATGGTATATCTGATCTTATTTTAGCAGTAGGCACAAACAACTTAAAGTTAGATTCTTGTGTCCCGGAAGATTTGGCTAAATCTACTTTCTCCTACATAAAGAAAGTCAGGAAAGCACTTCCTTCATGTCATGTCTTTTGTCCCGGGGTTCTCCCATCTACCTCCCCCACAATCAACACCAGAATCACAAAATATAACTTTTATTTGAACGATATGTGCCAAAATTTGCCGAATGCATCATACGTAGATATGAAAACATTCCAAAGCAACAACGGCAAGCTGCTACCGAAATTTTCAGTCGGAAACTCGGACTCTTTTCATCTAAACGAAGCCGGTTTGAAGGTTTATTTTAGCCGGTTAAAATTTGCCCTAAGGGCCAGACATGGCCTCCCAAATATCAAACGGGTCCAACGTAGGTCAAGTAATTCTCCGACAACCTCTTAAAACCGGTTGTAACTCTTATATCACCCAGTTATTTACTAATCGTTTAAATTGGTATTTTTTATTTATAGGGCGTTTTCTCTGTAATTATCAAGTTATAGCTTACGAAGTTCGAGGGACCCCTTCATTTTAAAACTTTGAACATCTGCTTTACTGCTTAGTAATTGTACAGCGTGTGCCTATTCTTCAGGTGGTGGTTCATTGGTTCCGTGGTGTAGGAGCTATTTAGGGCTTATAGTTATTATCACTTTATCATTCGCTATCAAGCGTGCGTATCTCAAATTATATTATTGTGACCGCCAGCTTTATGTTATTGTATCCGTCAGCTCGATACCATTGACCTTAATAATGCTATATTTGCTCCATTCAGTCGCTTGTCCAGTTTAGGGAACTTTTAATTCATAATTTAATCCCCTCTCATTATTACACCTGTATATTACCGACTTCGAGAGAACCAGTTCTAAATTCTGGTTATTGTATGGATGTCTGATCCAATATTAATTTATTGCTGCAGATCCTTCTCCACGTGAGTCACATCTTTATACCACCTTTACCTTGTTAAATATGGTTATATGTACTATTACCAGGGTCCTTTTGGCTCGTCCTGATTTTTAGTACAGTAAAGTTATTCATTAAATTAAAGTTTTAAAAAAATTATATACAGGCTATGCCAACTAAAAACCACAAAAAAAATTCTGTTCGGTGTATAGCTTTAACCTCTCCACAATATATTGAGGCCATTTTTATTTTGTTCTAGATTTTCTGATCTTCTACCTGTTACATTTTCGGGTACACTGTCACAACTTCTCCTTGCGACGCGTTCACTCATGTTTCCTAGGTACAGTGTGTTTTACACCTTGCTACCTCGTCACCTCAATAATTGGTATTACTATTATTCCGATAATAACTGTTATAATAAGGGCGGGGCTAGTGTAGGTTGTAGTACAAACATGCCGTATCACTGTAGAGTCTATTTCTCTACGATCGTTTTCTGTGTTTCTATGTTGTGTGTGCATGTTTTTTGTGTTATTGACATTGTATATTCTCACGTTTTCACAACACCATCACCTTCATTTCTGGGGTTTAATTTAGGGGGTGTTAAGAACTACACCAAGGAAGGATGGGGCATTTTTCAGATTAACAATGACTCCGCAAAATAACAGCAATAGTGGGTTGGCATGCCCAAAAATCGGTTCTTTCAACTGCAATGGTATGGGAAACCCGATTAAACGTAATCTTGTCTTAAACTGGTTAAAAAATAAACCTGAGAAAATTATTTGTCTTCAAGAAACACACTCAACTCCTCAAGTTGAGAGAGAGTGGAAACATTCTTGGGACGGGGAGATAATCTTTAACCATGGTACTTCAAACTCAACCGGTATCGCCCTACTTGTTAAACCTGATGCTTCGAATCTCACTATTATTAACCATCGTAGCATCAGCCAAGGTCGCGCGACCCTTGTAGAAATAGAGTACGACTCTCTCAAATTGTGTTTGGTGAATGTATACTGCCCAAATAATGACGATGTGTCATTTCTTGAAAACATATTTTTAGAAACTCTCAGTCGTTCACGAGATGATCAAATAATTTTTGTTGGAGACTGGAATACAGTTCTGAACAACATGTTGGATAAGCAGGGGGGGGTCCGCCACCCATGCAAATAGTCGCTGCCAGAAATTCATTAATGATTGCATTAGCGACTATGGGTTTAGTGATATTTTCCGTCTTAACAGAGGTGCTGAGGCACGGGTTTTTACTCACTTTAACAAAAAGTACAAAACTCAGTCTAGATTAGATTTTTTCTTGATCCAAGATAGCCTAGTCAATCTACCTGTATGTGATACAGAAATAAGTCATGGCTATAAATCTGATCACAGCTACATCTCGCTATCCCTCCAGGGCTCTACTATTGCACACGGAAAAGGATATTGGAAAATTAACAACTCTCATCTCCTGGATCAAAATTTTATTAACGAAATAAAGAAAATCATTGACAATACTAAAGAGGATAGCTTCGATTCTTACGGGGGTCTTTGGGACGTTATAAAAATCAAAATAAAACAGTTCGCAATGACTTTTGGTAAAAAGAAAAAAAAAGAAATCACAGTAAAAAAAGAAAAGTTAAAAAAAGATATTGAAGATTGTAAAAAAGATTCGAACCTAACAAACTGTACAATACTACAGAAGAAATTATTTGAAGCAGAATTAGATTTAAATCATATTATAGATCAGGAGGTGAGAGGTGCAATTACTAGATCACGTGTGCAGTGGACAGAGGAGGGGGAGCGCTCGACTAAATACTTTTTTGGACTGGAAAAATCAAACGGCAAGAAAAAAAGTATTAGTAAACTGATAGACATCGAAGGCAATGACCTCACAGACCAGGATAACATCTCTAGTCACGTGGTTAACTTTTATCAGAACCTGTATAACTCAACTAACCCATCTCCCACTGAGATAGATAATTATTTAACCAGTAGCGATTTAAAGCAAATCCCACAAGAAATTACGGAAACTCTGGAGGGGCCTATCACGTTGCACGAAATGGATGCTATTGTCAATAAGTTAACCAACAATAAATCTCCAGGTTGGGACGGGCTTTCTGCTGAATTTTACAAAACTTTTTGGATGGATATCAGGCAGATCATGTATAACTCCTATTTAGAATCTATTAACAGGGGATGCTTGTCGCCCTCGCAGAGAATAGGTATTCTTACTCTTATTCCCAAGCCAAAAAGCCCAGTGGAACTTAATTACATAAAGAATTGGAGACCTATTACTCTGCTAAACATTGACTATAAAATCTTCACACATATAGCTAAAAATAGGATTATGAAGGCTATCCCTAGCATAATCAGCAAAACCCAGTCAGGCTTTCAAGCGGGCAGGAGTACAGCAGATAATCTTATTCTCATGTCAATGGTTCTGGAATCATTTAACAACGACACGGAACAAGAGGGCCTCCTTTTACAGATTGATTTTGAAAAGTGTTTTGATTCGGTAGAACATAACTTTGTCTTCAGTACTCTTGAAAAATTGGGTTTCAGCGAATACATTATTAAACTGATTAAAGTGGCTTTTCAAGCATGCTTTAGCTACGCCAATATTAATGGGTTTTTAAGCTCGCCTATTTATATTCTAAGAGGTCTTCACCAGGGTAGTCCACTGTCTCCTATTCTCTTTCTGATTGTGGCCCAAACTTTCTCGAATAAAATCCAGATTAATCCTAATATCAGGGGTCTTAACATATCAGGTGTGGAAATCTTACAGAGTCTATTTGCAGACGACACTGATCTGTTTCTGAAAGCTTCAATTGAAAGTGTAGAGGCGGTTATGACAGAACTCAGAACTTTTGCTCAGTGCTCGGGGTGTAAAGCTAACATCGACAAAACTAGATGTATTCCTTTAGGTCGAGCTCGTCTTAATACAACTCTACTAGAATCCCTTCAAAGTTTATACGGCTATGATTTTATAACAAATAACTTCACCGCTTTGGGTATAGTTTATATGAACGATGGCTCACTGATGGATATTGTCAACAGTAATTATAATGATAAATTGATTAAGGTTCAGTCTTGGATAAACCGATGGAGCAAGAGGGATTTGACGCTGATGGGTAAATGCACAGTCATTAAAACCCTTCTCTTTTCCCAAATAACATATCTTGTTTCTCCTCTCCCTCGACCGGATGCTTCCTTTATCAAAATCTTTGACACGGCTATTTTCCATTTTCTTTGGGGTTGCAAACGCGATAAAGTAAAACGTGAGATTATTACCCGAAATAAGGAACATGGAGGCCTGGGACTTTTTTATTTATCTGATTTTATTATAGGTCTCAAAACCAGCCTCATATCCAAGCTACTAAATAATTCCTTTCACCACACTTGGAAAGATATTATGATTATGCAGCTGAAATTTCCTGACCATATCACCATCTCCGTAGAAAACGGTCTCGCTAAAACCAACTGCCATTTTACTCAAGACGTCCTTAATTGTTACACTGAGTGGAAGATAAGTTCGGTAAATGCAGCCTTGGGTTCTATTGATCACTGCGTGTGGTACAACCAAGCAATAACCGACATCGGGGCCAAACTTTGGAACAATCATCTGATTGATAAGGGAATATTTTACATCTCAGATTTCCTTTCTATAGACCAAAGTACAATCCTTAACTACGATATGTTCATTAACAAGTGGGAGCTGTCTCCAAATACTATTTCCAAAACTGAGTACTGTAACATTATCATGGGGATACGGAGATATAACTGCCCCACTATTAACTCAAGGAATATTGAGTTTGTTGACTCAAATATAAAACTTAAATTTTTACATTCTGTAACTGGACAGGTGAAGGGAAGTAAAATTCGGGATAAAATGTACGACTCTATCTGCCCAAACGAGCTGTCCCCATTACGTCAATGGGTTATTGACCTAAATAATCAACCAATAGATTGGGCGGTCGTTCTTAGCAACCTATTTTTCTTAGTATCTAAAAATTTTAAGTTGATTCAATTTCAGTACAAGCTTTTAATGAGGATCACGACGTGTAGATACATGAGACACAAAATGAAAATTGTTACAGATACTCCCATGTGTAGCCTGTGTAACACATACTTAGAAACAATTCCTCATATCTATCTCCATTGTATCCACACAAATAGCTTCGTCACAATACTTGAAGACTTTATAAAAAGGAAAATCGATAGAAATTACAAAGACCCCAATAAAATTAATTTTATAGTTTGTAATCACACTTCACAAATTATAAATTATTTTAATATTGTTGCCAAATGGTACATTAGCAAAAGATTTCAGGCAGGGGACATGCCGATCTGGCAGGGATATATCAAACTTCTTAAACTTTCACTTACTGGAGACAAAATAGGCCACAAAAGTTCTATTGTGTCGATCTTGGCCGATTAGGGCAAATTGTCCACCCCATTTATATTGCTGTCTTTGTTATTTTACTAGCAATGGTTATTGTTACTATCTTACAGTACTACTAACTGTTTTTTGTAGTACATGCCCTGCTTCCTTCCATTCCTAAACTACCTTACAAGCTCTTCCTCTTTTACACCCTTTTCAATCACTTCATTTCACTCATTCACTTCATATCTTATTACCACAGTATCTGCCAAAACTAACATGGCCCATGTGGAAGGGGGCCTTGACGTTGTTGACCACTTGGCCCTGCATCCCAAGCTGACGGTCGGCCTCCACTCTCTAAAAACATACCTTCAGTGAAGGCAGATGGTCAGCAAATAGCGATGCTAGGGCTTGGTGTGAACAAATCTTGACCAACTTTCACACCTTTGGGACGACTCTCGCAAATGCGAGAGTAATGACCCCGGGGAGGGCCCCATTGGTTTTAGTAGGTTGCATATTTAAAAGAAAAAAAAAAAAAAAAAAAAAAAAAAAAAAAAAAAAAAAAAAAAAAAACTGAAAATGGGACAGAGATTGGGACAATATGATTTTGCAGTTTTATTCGGGATTTTGACTCCAAGTACCTCAATTTGGTTTCATACCATCATCAATTAGCTGACTAATTGGTTTCTGGGCAAAAAGTTCATCCAATCTGTCAAATTTGTGTTCAGAAAATTTCACATTTGAAAATGGGACAGAATTTTGAAAATACAGCTTTTCGTTTTGTTAAGCTTTCTGCTGTGGGCTTCCTCCGACCGAAATCAAACTTCCAGCACCTCAATCGTGTCATATGGCACCTATAGTTGACTTACTTATTGGTTGCGGGTGAAATAATCAGTAAAAACTGTAAAATTTCGGTCCTGGAAATTTCATCTTCAAAAACTGAAAATGGGACAGAGATTGGGACAATATGATTTTGCAGTTTTATTCGGGATTTTGACTCCCAGTACCTCAATTTGGTTTCATACCATCATCAATTAGCTGACTTATTGGTTTCTGGGCAAAAAGTTCATCCAATCTGTCAAATTTGTGTTCAGAAAATTTCACATTTGAAAATGGGACAGAATTTTGAAAATACAGCTTTTCGTTTTGTTAAGCTTTCTGCTGTGGGCTTCCTCCGACCGAAATCAAACTTCCAGCACCTCAATCGTGTCATATGGCACCTATAGTTGACTTACTAATTGGTTGCGGGTGAAAAAATCAGTAAAAACTGTAAAATTTCGGTCCTGGAAATTTCATCTTCAAAAACTGAAAATGGGACAGAGATTGGGACAATATGATTTTGCAATTTTATTCGGGATTTTGACTCCCAGTACCTCAATTTGGTTTCATACCATCATCAATTAGCTGACTAATTGGTTTCTGGGCAAAAAGTTCATCCAATCTGTCAAATTTGTGTTCAGAAAATTTCACATTTGAAAATGGGACAGAATTTTGAAAATACAGCTTTTCGTTTTGTTAAGCTTTCTGCTGTGGGCTTCCTCCGACCGAAATCAAACTTCCAGCACCTCAATCGTGTCATATGGCACCTATAGTTGACTTACTAATTGGTTGCGGGTGAAAAAATCAGTAAAAACTGTAAAATTTCGGTCCTGGAAATTTCATCTTCAAAAACTGAAAATGGGACAGAGATTGGGACAATATGATTTTGCAGTTTTATTCGGGATTTTGACTCCCAGTACCTCAATTTGGTTTCATACCATCATCAATTAGCTGCTAATTGGTTTCTGGGCAAAAAGTTCATCCAATCTGTCAAATTTGTGTTCAGAAAATTTCACATTTGAAAATGGGACAGAATTTTGAAAATACAGCTTTTCGTTTTGTTAAGCTTTCTGCTGTGGGCTTCCTCCGACCGAAATCAAACTTCCAGCACCTCAATCGTGTCATATGGCACCTATAGTTGACTTACTTATTGGTTGCGGGTGAAAAAATCAGTAAAAACTGTAAAATTTCGGTCCTGGAAATTTCATCTTCAAAAACTGAAAATGGGACAGAGATTGGGACAATATGATTTTGCAGTTTTATTCGGGATTTTGACTCCCAGTACCTCAATTTGGTTTCATACCATCATCAATTAGCTGCTAATTGGTTTCTGGGCAAAAAGTTCATCCAATCTGTCAAATTTGTGTTCAGAAAATTTCACATTTGAAAATGGGACAGAATTTTGAAAATACAGCTTTTCGTTTTGTTAAGCTTTCTGCTGTGGGCTTCCTCCGACCGAAATCAAACTTCCAGCACCTCAATCGTGTCATATGGCAACTATAGTTGACTTACTAATCGGTTGCGGGTGAAAAAATCAGTAAAAACTGTAAAATTTCGGTCCTGGAAATTTCATCTTCAAAAACTGAAAATGGGACAGAGATTGGGACAATATGATTTTGCAATTTTATTCGGGATTTTGACTCCCAGTACCTCAATTTGGTTTCATACCATCATCAATTAGCTGCTAATTGGTTTCTGGGCAAAAAGTTCATCCAATCTGTCAAATTTGTGTTCAGAAAATTTCACATTTGAAAATGGGACAGAATTTTGAAAATACAGCTTTTCGTTTTGTTAAGCTTTCTGCTGTGGGCTTCCTCCGACCGAAATCAAACTTCCAGCACCTCAATCGTGTCATATGGCACCTATAGTTGACTTACTTATTGGTTGCGGGTGAAAAAATCAGTAAAAACTGTAAAATTTCGGTCCTGGAAATTTCATCTTCAAAAACTGAAAATGGGACAGAGATTGGGACAATATGATTTTGCAGTTTTATTCGGGATTTTGACTCCCAGTACCTCAATTTGGTTTCATACCATGATCAATTAGCTGCTAATTTGTTTCTGGGCAAAAAGTTCATCCAATCTGTCAAATTTGTGTTCAGAAAATTTCACATTTGAAAATGGGACAGAATTTTGAAAATACAACTTTTCGTTTTGTTAAGCTTTCTGCTGTGGGCTTCCTCCGACCGAAATCAAACTTCCAGCACCTCAATCGTGTCATTTGGCAGCTATAGTTGACTTACTAATTGGTTGCGGGTGAAAAAATCAGTAAAAACTGTAAAATTTCGGTCCTGGAAATTTCATCTTCAAAAACTGAAAATGGGACAGAGATTGGGACAATATGATTTTGCAATTTTATTCGGGATTTTGACTCCCAGTACCTCAATTTGGTTTCATACCATCATCAATTAGCTGCTAATTGGTTTCTGGGCAAAAAGTTCATCCAATCTGTCAAATTTGTGTTCAGAAAATTTCACATTTGAAAATGGGACAGAATTTTGAAAATACAACTTTTCGTTTTGTTAAGCTTTCTGCTGTGGGCTTCCTCCGACCGAAATCAAACTTCCAGCACCTCAATCGTGGCATATGGCAACTTACTAACTATAGTTGACTTACTAATCGGTTGCGGGTGAAAAAATCAGTAAAAACTGTAAAATTTCGGTCCTGGAAATTTCATCTTCAAAAACTGAAAATGGGACAGAGATTGGGACAATATGATTTTGCAGTTTTATTCGGGATTTTGACTCCCAGTACCTCAATTTGGTTTCATACCATCATCAATTAGCTGCTAATTGGTTTCTGGGCAAAAAGTTCATCCAATCTGTCAAATTTGTGTTCAGAAAATTTCACATTTGAAAATGGGACAGAATTTTGAAAATACAACTTTTCGTTTTGTTAAGCTTTCTGCTGTGGGCTTCCTCCGACCGAAATCAAACTTCCAGCACCTCAATCGTGTCATATGGCACCTATAGTTGACTTACTAATTGGTTGCGGGTGAAAAAATCAGTAAAAACTGTAAAATTTCGGTCCTGGAAATTTCATCTTCAAAAACTGAAAATGGGACAGAGATTGGGACAATATGATTTTGCAGTTTTATTCGGGATTTTGACTCCCAGTACCTCAATTTGGTTTCATACCATCATCAATTAGCTGCTAATTGGTTTCTGGGCAAAAAGTTCATCCAATCTGTCAAATTTGTGTTCAGAAAATTTCACATTTGAAAATGGGACAGAATTTTGAAAATACAACTTTTCGTTTTGTTAAGCTTTCTGCTGTGGGCTTCCTCCGACCGAAATCAAACTTCCAGCACCTCAATCGTGTCATATGGCACCTATAGTTGACTTACTTATTGGTTGCGGGTGAAATAATCAGTAAAAACTGTAAAATTTTGGTCCTGGAAATTTCATCTTCAAAAACTGAAAATGGGACAGAGATTGGGACAATATGATTTTGCAATTTTATTCGGGATTTTGACTCCCAGTACCTCAATTTGGTTTCATACCATCATCAATTAGCTGCTAATTGGTTTCTGGGCAAAAAGTTCATCCAATCTGTCAAATTTGTGTTCAGAAAATTTCACATTTGAAAATGGGACAGAATTTTGAAAATACAACTTTTCGTTTTGTTAAGCTTTCTGCTGTGGGCTTCCTCCGACCGAAATCAAACTTCCAGCACCTCAATCGTGTCATATGGCACCTATAGTTGACTTACTAATTGGTTGCGGGTGAAAAAATCAGTAAAAACTGTAAAATTTCGGTCCTGGAAATTTCATCTTCAAAAACTGAAAATGGGACAGAGATTGGGACAATATGATTTTGCAGTTTTATTCGGGATTTTGACTCCCAGTACCTCAATTTGGTTTCATACCATGATCAATTAGCTGCTAATTGGTTTCTGGGCAAAAAGTTCATCCAATCTGTCAAATTTGTGTTCAGAAAATTTCACATTTGAAAATGGGACAGAATTTTGAAAATACAGCTTTTCGTTTTGTTAAGCTTTCTGCTGTGGGCTTCCTCCGACCGAAATCAAACTTCCAGCACCTCAATCGTGTCATATGGCACCTATAGTTGACTTACTAATTGGTTGCGGGTGAAAAAATCAGTAAAAACTGTAAAATTTCGGTCCTGGAAATTTCATCTTCAAAAACTGAAAATGGGACAGAGATTGGGACAATATGATTTTGCAATTTTATTCGGGATTTTGACTCCCAGTACCTCAATTTGGTTTCATACCATCATCAATTAGCTGACTAATTGGTTTCTGGGCAAAAAGTTCATCCAATCTGTCAAATTTGTGTTCAGAAAATTTCACATTTGAAAATGGGACAGAATTTTGAAAATACAACTTTTCGTTTTGTTAAGCTTTCTGCTGTGGGCTTCCTCCGACCGAAATCAAACTTCCAGCACCTCAGTTGTGTCAAATGCCATCTATTGTTCACTGCTTAATTGGTCACTGGAAAAACATTTAGTCAAAACTGTGAAATTTTGGTCAAGGTACAATTGAGGTACTTTCTAGAGACTTTATTACAGAACGGAAAGTGGTATTATCCCATTTCTGTTTCATTTTCAAACATGATATTTGACAGAATTTTAGGCCAACGTATTCAGGGTTTTCGTTTTTAGTGCCCGAAGTCAGGTACAAATTTAATAAAATTACTGAATACAGTTAGATAATTCATAATGCATTTTCCCAGTAAATAAACTGATTGGACTCAGTAATTGAATTTTCAAACCTTAAATATAATAAAATATCACAAAATATTCAAAGGTCACGGGTCCTCAGCAACAACTTAGTTATCATCAAGTTTGGTTCGATCAACAGTTGACAGTGTCAGCTCTACAATATAATAGTCCCTGTAGGCTGTATCCGCCAATTATTTGAGTAAAGAGAGTGTTTTCTAGAATAGTAAATCACTCTGTGTAGTGTAATGTGAGGTACCACGTGGTGCCTCTGTGTCTCATTCAGAGTCTGAGCTTGATTCGTAATCTTTGCTGGCTTGTATGAGCAAGAGTTTCCTTTTCAAACCATAGAACATTTGTGGTTGAGTGGTCACATCAAATGCAGCAAATTTCCAGCCTAGATCTCTCAAACACCTGCAAAATAAAACAATCGTAAGTTAAGGGCTAGAATTCGCTGTATTTTGCCGTTAAAACACAACTTGTACTGTTTAACTTCATGATTGGGCCGTAATTCAAAAGCAAATTGGCAAGAAGTGGTGCTCACGGTCTCACTTAACGTCACTTAAGCGACAGACAGCCTGCAGGCATATGATCCGAATACGAAATATCCTTGTGTTCGGCATTTAATAGCCCTAATTGGTTACTTCGTATACTAAACCCTAGATTTCGCGACAATTGACCCCAGTGTAATAACATAGGGGTCAATTGCAGTTTTATTCGGGATTTTGACTCCCAGTACCTCAATTTGGTTTCATACCATCATCAATTAGCTGCTAACTAGTCAGGTACAAATTTAATAAAATTACTGAATACAGTTAGATAATTCATAATGCATTTTCCCAGTAAATAAACTGATTGGACTCAGTAATTGAATTTTCAAACCTTAAATATAATAAAATATCACAAAATATTCAAAGGTCACGGGTCCTCAGCAACAACTTAGTTATCATCAAGTTTGGTTCGATCAACAGTTGACAGTGTCAGCTCTACAATATAATAGTCCCTGTAGGCTGTATCCGCCAAATATTTGAGTAAAGAGAGTGTTTTCTAGAATAGTAAATCACTCTGTGTAGTGTAATGTGAGGTACCACGTGGTGCCTCTGTGTCTCATTCAGAGTCTGAGCTTGATTCGTAATCTTTGCTGGCTTGTATGAGCAAGAGTTTCCTTTTCAAACCATAGAACATTTGTGGTTGAGTGGTCACATCAAATGCAGCAAATTTCCAGCCTAGATCTCTCAAACACCTGCAAAATAAAACAATCGTAAGTTAAGGGCTAGAATTCGCTGTATTTTGCCGTTAAAACACAACTTGTACTGTTTAACTTCATGATTGGGCCGTAATTCAAAAGCAAATTGGCAAGAAGTGGTGCTCACGGTCTCACTTAACGTCACTTAAGCGACAGACAGCCTGCAGGCATATGATCCGAATACGAAATATCCTTGTGTTCGGCATTTAATAGCCCTAATTGGTTACTTCGTATACTAAACCCTAGATTTCGCGACAATTGACCCCAGTGTAATAACATAGGGGTCAATTGCAGTTTTATTCGGGATTTTGACTCCCAGTACCTCAATTTGGTTTCATACCATCATCAATTAGCTGCTAACTAGTCAGGTACAAATTTAATAAAATTACTGAATACAGTTAGATAATTCATAATGCATTTTCCCAGTAAATAAACTGATCGGACTCAGTAATTGAATTTTCAAACCTTAAATATAATAAAATATCACAAAATATTCAAAGGTCACGGGTCCTCAGCAACAACTTAGTTATCATCAAGTTTGGTTCGATCAACAGTTGACAGTGTCAGCTCTACAATATAATAGTCCCTGTAGGCTGTATCCGCCAATTATTTGAGTAAAGAGAGTGTTTTCTAGAATAGTAAATCACTCTGTGTAGTGTAATGTGAGGTACCACGTGGTGCCTCTGTGTCTCATTCAGAGTCTGAGCTTGATTCGTAATCTTTGCTGGCTTGTATGAGCAAGAGTTTCCTTTTCAAACCATAGAACATTTGTGGTTGAGTGGTCACATCAAATGCAGCAAATTTCCAGCCTAGATCTCTCAAACACCTGCAAAATAAAACAATCGTAAGTTAAGGGCTAGAATTCGCTGTATTTTGCCGTTAAAACACAACTTGTACTGTTTAACTTCATGATTGGGCCGTAATTCAAAAGCAAATTGGCAAGAAGTGGTGCTCACGGTCTCACTTAACGTCACTTAAGCGACAGACAGCCTGCAGGCATATGATCCGAATACGAAATATCCTTGTGTTCGGCATTTAATAGCCCTAATTGGTTACTTCGTATACTAAACCCTAGATTTCGCGACAATTGACCCCAGTGTAATAACATAGGGGTCAATTGCAGTTTTATTCGGGATTTTGACTCCCAGTACCTCAATTTGGTTTCATACCATCATCAATTAGCTGCTAACTAGTCAGGTACAAATTTAATAAAATTACTGAATACAGTTAGATAATTCATAATGCATTTTCCCAGTAAATAAACTGATTGGACTCAGTAATTGAATTTTCAAACCTTAAATATAATAAAATATCACAAAATATTCAAAGGTCACGGGTCCTCAGCAACAACTTAGTTATCATCAAGTTTGGTTCGATCAACAGTTGACAGTGTCAGCTCTACAATATAATAGTCCCTGTAGGCTGTATCCGCCAAATATTTGAGTAAAGAGAGTGTTTTCTAGAATAGTAAATCACTCTGTGTAGTGTAATGTGAGGTACCACGTGGTGCCTCTGTGTCTCATTCAGAGTCTGAGCTTGATTCGTAATCTTTGCTGGCTTGTATGAGCAAGAGTTTCCTTTTCAAACCATAGAACATTTGTGGTTGAGTGGTCACATCAAATGCAGCAAATTTCCAGCCTAGATCTCTCAAACACCTGCAAAATAAAACAATTGTAGCGATATTAAAATTGAGTTAAATTGTTATGCAAGATAAAATATCCGATCACATCAAAGGTAAGTTTACCCATGTTACTCAGGTTACCAGGTTACTCAGGTTACCCAGGTTACTCAGGTTATCCAGGTTACCAGGTTACCCAGGTTACCAGGATACCCCGGGTTACCCAGGTTACCAGGTTACCAGCTTATCCAGGTTACCCAAGTTACCCAGGTTACCAAGGTTATCAAGGTTACCTACGTTTTACAGCCGAGCAGTGTTCTACCATATCCAGTAAGGTCACTCTTCCTGGTAGCGGTACCGTACCAGTACACATGATCAGTGTTAACGTTAGTGGTCAGTACTGTCTCGTCGAACATTCCTGGAGGTAGTGGGTGTGAAATCGGGAGCTATCTAAAAGTTGAAATATACATATATATATTATATATATGTATTTGAGTTGTTCTATCCTCCTGATATTTATAAATTAATATTGTTAATTTGCTAATAATTGAAGGACTGTAAATAAAAAATCTAAATTTATATGCGTTAATTATACTGCAATGGTTAAGATGTGACACACTGTAGCAAGAATTTCGCCGCGGTTAAACCACGCACGATCAATTTTCCCTACCAATTACCATGTACTTGTACCATTAATATTATGGCATTAATTCTTTTGAGTGAAAAGTGTGACTGGAAAAAAGTGCACCATATTTACATACTATGTTTTTTATGAATGAGTGGGATTCGTGCATGGTAAAAATTGACGATTTATTTGACCAATGCAGCGCCGCGCATCAACAATAAATGAATCCAGAAAATTGCGGAAAATAACTTTGCGAAGGAGGAATTTCACTGTAATTAATTAACACATGGCTAGCGTCGCGCGCAGCATAACAGACGCTTCCTATACACTTAATTATAGGGGAGTGGTCTATATTGCGAAGGAGCAGACTTTTGTCGTCACCGCAGGTCCATCGGGCTACCTCATATATCTAAACCCGATTACTTATTCCCTACGATCTTTTTGCCTTCGGCAAGAGTAGGGAAAAAAATCTAAATTTATATGCGTTAATTATACTGCAATGGTTAAGATGTGACACACTGTAACAGAAATATTTAAAGGAAACTCAAGTTAACAACTAATCTCCTAAAAGTAACATAATAACTAACTAATCTTAACATAACTTAATAACTAACTAATCTCAACATAACTTAATTAAATGGTTGTTATCAGAACGACGTACCCTCCGGTTTGAGATGATAAAAAGGACCTTCAGACTTCATGGACATAAGATCAGAGCAGCTGACAACTGGATGGTTAGGTCCACACTCGAGACAACAGTAATCAAAGTGGTTGAGAAGTCGCAGGTAGTTCAGTTGAGATCGGAGTCTCACGATCAGGTTATCCTCTCTCAGCATCTTGTTTCTGTGTAGATGGTAATTGTTAGTTTCGCGGGAATTTATGATTTATACCAGTGCTACATTCTCATTTACTGACTATCATAACTCTATTTAAGGGCCTAACAGCCTATGATAAAGATAAGAGATAACATCTTCTCTTGAATGGGTTGACTATAGACTCTTGAAGTCCTATTACCGGTGAATGTTCTTCAATTCAACATTCGTCATTATAATTAACAATATCTAACCTTTGTTTGAACTTGAAGGGCATAGTACTGATGATCCAATAAGAGAACATGATGGGCTCAGTCGGGGCAGAGTCCGCATTAATACCAGGGCAACTCGTTGTTATCTCGTTCTTAATCAGTTTCTCCAGAGTGAAGACGTCCCTGAGTCGGTGCTGCCACACTGGGAGGGGTCCTCGCAGGAACGTATCCTTTACTTTGCCAGCTGTGGGACGTGGTGTAATAAACCGGACATTTGTTTGTGTCTTGTGAGAGATCAAGTTCTAAGAGATTTCTGAGAGTTTGTATTTAATAAATAAATGCTCTTAATAAAGATAAGTTTAAAAGTGTTTAGGGTTTATGTTTAATCGGAATAAAATAACGGAGAGATAACCCTCCTCGATTTCTCAAACTGCGCAGTCTATTAGTCTATATATTAGTCTATATATTAGTCTATACCAGGATCAAGAAGGCGAGGTTGTTTCTGGTCCTCGTGTATCTCAACTGTAGCTCTCATATGTCTTGAAGTTAACTCTTCTGATATCACCTCATATCTCTGTCTACCTATAGATATATATTATAGTATAGTATATATAAATATATATTAAATTTTTAAATGTTTCATGATCGATAAAAATTATTTTATAAAGGAGCAACATGTCATAGCGCTACAATTCATTATTCTATTTGGCACTGATGATTGGTATTGTTTTTTATACATATCATGAAACGGATCGTTTGCCCGCCAATTTGATTTGTTTCAATTGTTCGAATTATATAAATATATATATATACTAGATTTATTATAAGTGTATCTGTGTGAAAAAACAAAATGGAAGTTTCCAAATTCTCTATTATTCAGGCCAAGAGAGGCTATAATTATCATTTGATGTTTGATAAGGCACTAAAGATATATATAATCCATGTTTACGTGTAAAGTGTAAACAGTGCGTGAAGATAATTAGATAATTAATTATATATTAATGAGGTATTATAGTAGTACCCATGCACTTTAGTTCCAGTTTGCTCTGATTCTCTTCTGTTACCTCAAGTATCTGAACTGTAACACCGCAGTCGCACCAGGTATCCTCTAATCTTTCACTGCACAAAATTGGTTAGTTAGCTTGGAGTTAATTATTAAGTGAATGATCAGGATCAAGTCTGCTGATTAGTACACGGCCGACTCTGACAGAAAGTATCGGTCCGGGAAAGCTCGCTTGATTATGAGCGGACTGTCAACCAATGTTACCTTAAACAGACTTTAAGAAGAAGAATTAAGCTTGCGACGATATTCCGCAGCCTATTCTAAAACAGCATTATTTTTTCATTTTTATGACTCACTCTTCGTTAGGCACGTGCACGGCCCCAAACACATTAGGATCGTCACTATCAAGTAGGTTTTTGAGCAGAGCGAACTGTAGTCCTGTGTGTTGGTCGTCTCTAAACCTCAGCGGGAACATTAATCCTGCGATAAATCTCGTGTAAGTTTAGAAGGCGCTGGTTTGTTTGAAGAATGTTTCGCTTGATGCGAATTATTGTTTTAGCGAAGAGATCAGCTTTTACTTCGAGTATTATCACCCCGATTCAAATTTCCCCTCAAAATTGAATTGTTCAGCAAGAATTAATTGGAGTTGCTATTAAAATTCTAATTAATGATATAATTGGAAGTGTGTTACCTGGAATAACGATGATGTTAGTAGGAATGAGCAGTAGACTCACTCTATCTCCTTCATTATAATTAGTGTATACGCTGTTCGGAGTCGGAATATCTGAGGAGAACAACCATGAACACATCTTGTTATTTCTTTAAATACCATTTTACTGTTATTTATTTTACCTAGTCCATTGCTCAACTGTCTCACGGAAAGACAATCGTGCAAGAAGCTTTAAAAGAGCGCCGCGCAAAGGGATCAGTGGCGTACCAGGTACTTACTTACTGGGCATAATAATCTTCTAGAATAAACAACAATAATACAATCACAACCAAATCCTAACACTTACTTGGGATCTGTGAGTACCGTCGAGCTAGTCCCATCTGCATCAAATCGGCTCCGCCCCTTCCGCGGGGCCTGTTGTAATTCTGCACCAGTTCCCCAAACGCGTCTTCTTCTCCTTCTAGTTCATGTTCAGGTCTTGACTCGTCCTCAGACATGGTTTCCGGGTGGAGAGATGTTCAAAACTGGGGGATATAATCTTAGCGATGAAAAGATTTTGTAGATTTTTGTTTGTCGAAGATGGTTTTCTACATTCTAGGCGAAATGAAAAATACTTGATGGAATTCATTTAAAATGCGGAATTTGCGGGTTAAGCGTTGAAATAAAACATTTGGTTAAAGGCCCCATTGCCTCCAGCTAAAAATAGCGTCCAACTAAAATCTCTACCGTAAAAATATATCATCATACGGATACTTTCGTCTTATCTGTGATCATTTCCCTCAGTTTGATACTTTTTATCACGATTTGAGCGTACAATGGTTGCTGCTGCGTTTCAATTTTATTGAAATTTTGGTAATCTAGTCAGCCCCTGTCTGTGCAGGGAATAATCTTGCCGACACATAAACATATAGTTTTATCTGGATGCTATGGGGTCTTTAACAAAAAACACGCATTCATAATTAAACAGTTAACTTTGAACGATCACGAGAAAACTTTACAATAATGTTTACAATTCGTACATCTTCAAATTATCTAAACCTATGTTAGATGAAGTGTTAAAACAATCGAACGTTTTAATTTCCTTAGAAACGAAAAGCACCCATATAGAAGAAAAACAAATATCTCGACAGTATGCACGATCTCACAAACGATAATGAAGGAGCTTTAATTGATTGCAAGTAACATCAATGAGATAAAGAACCTTTAATTTGCATTACCAAAATGCTGACTAACTTGATTATCGTGATAAAATATCACCCAATAAGAGAGCAATATCATGAGACATGCTGTACAAAAAGTTATGATATTTAATGATATTGATCGAAGAAGAGTTTGATGTTGCGATTTATAAATTTGTATAAGATTATTAGGATTAATTGAGTACGTGACTCGATCAAATTACCTTCTTGTTATTTTAAAATTGATCAAAGTCCAAGATATCGAAGGTATAAGCAACATATCTGCGCATATAACTTTAGTTGACAAAATAAAAGTGTTTAAAATATTAAATAAAATAAATAACCTGCCATTTGCAAATCGTATAAAATAAAACTGAAATGCTGTTAATTTAGACTTGAATCTCGATCCCTGAACAAGTTTAAATGTAAATTGAATGTAAAGTTTGATTCTTATTGATTCATCGTCCTGCTGAGAATTGTTTCTGCATGTTTTTTGTTGGTAAAACTTAGAGACAAACCAAATGTCTGTTCTCACTTCTCGGTGATAAAATCTCCCCTGATTGGTAAACCCAGATAATAATTATTTGATATATTCGTCTCACCAGGAGAGAGTAATATTCAGATGATGATGAAAAGTATTTGAGAGTTATCAGATGATTTATATGTATCTGGGGTAGATTCCGTCCGCTTCATAAATTATTCGATCTCTGCCGAAATTAATGTCAGTAATATCTTCTTCTGGTTCAGGTTCGACTTCGCTGCAATATTGACGGAGTTTTTATATTTTTACTAGCAAAAAAATCCTGCTTTTTTAGTAGACCTTACAACTTTTTACTGCATTTAAAATTTATAAATATCTGTCAATTATGAATGTATTAGTTTAAATATTTAATTTTAAACATAATTTGTATTTTAATTATTTAATATGTAATTTTCTTAAGGCCAACAATAAATCTAACCTATGTCTGAGCACCCTGACAACTTTCCGTTGAATTCCGTAAAAGATTCGTGGCTGGGTCTCCTCAACAACTGCAGTGAACTTCCAACCCAGAAAACTATCACACCTGCAGACAAATTTATGTTTTTTTGAGTGGATCGATCATATAAATGATGTTTTGGGACAAAGTGAGAGTCTCCACTCAGTTTTTCAAACAAATAGAATATAATAGTTGTCGACGTTTCGGCCCACGCCTTTGTCATGGACGAGACGTTACAATTACGTTACATAGCTCAATAAAAACGTTGAACAACTGAGTGGAGACTCTCGTACTTTGTTCCAAAACATCAATTATATGGTTCTATGTAGATGTGTTTGTGGACACCTGATCTGTACCACTAGACTAACCTTAGACACTTGAGGTAACTCCAGGCGTACCAAGGTAACCAGGTAACCAGGTAACCAGGTAACCAGGTAACCAGGTAACCAGGTAACCAGGTAACCAGGTAACCGGGTAACCAATCCAGGTAACCAGGTAACCAAACTTACCTAAGACACTTGAGGTAACTCCAGGCGTACCCAGGTAACCAGGTAACCAGGTAACCAGGTAACCAGGTAACCAGGTAACCAGACTTACCTAAGACACTTGAGGTAACTCCAGGCGTATCCAGGAAACCATGAGTCTTGTGTGGTGGGTACCCCGTCTGCTATGGCGTGTTGTACACTGTATGCTGTGATCAGCTCAAAAGCGAAACCTGGCAAGAAACTTCGCTGTAAAGAGGGACAAATCGGAAATATTTCTCGTGCATGAATGTGGTAATTATGCTTCTCAAAATCAACGTTTAATTTTTGCCATCAGTTGAGAAATCCAACAGTAAAACACGAAACCGATTAATCACCGATAAATGTCGACTAAAGTTAAACTGATCTAGAACACGATTTTTTGCATAAAAACATAATCTCCAATCATATCTGGATACCAGATGGTAGAAATAAAGACCGACTATTCCACTAACCTTGGGGATTAACAAAGAAGGAACCGTCTGCTGACATGGAGACAAGCCGGCTAGAATTAATAATATCTTTACCACAAAGCTGGCAACAATAGTCGAACTGGTTTAGTTCCTTGATGTGGTCCAGCTGGGATTTCAGACGCACTACCAGGTTGTTCTCTCGTAACATCTCCGCTCTATTGGGAGAAAACTAATTTAAATCAATATATAATTAGGGGCTAGGAGCCCTCAACGCACTTAGCAGGACGATATCCGTCACCCTCCACTGGGTACCGGCGCATAGTGGAATAAAAGGCAATGATCTCGCAGATTCTCTGGCAAACAAAGGATCCGACACTCCTCCCATTGGACCGCCTCCTTTTGCCCCTTACACTCACTCCTCTCTCTCTAATATTTTAGACAGTTACTTTTCTCGACTTCACTATAATCGTTTATTACTCTTCAGATCCTCCACTGATTTTCACCAATCCAACATTATTAGTTTCTTTGACAGACACCTTGACGTTAAACGACATAATAGAGACAATACCAGAATTCTTACCCATCTATTCACAGGATGCAGTTATCTCAGATATTTCCAAAACAAGATTGGCAACGAACCCAACAGCATATGCAAAAAGTGTGATGAAGACAAGGAAACTACAGCACACTACCTCACAAGCTGTCCAGCATTCTCCATACACAGGAAATACTACCTTGGTAACTATACCATCAGAGAGGACACCTTCCATCAAACCTTCTCTATCAGTAACATAGTGGGGTTCGCTAGAGCTACCAAGTATCTAGATTTCTATGAACCCCCTTAGTCTCTTTCTCTTAGCCTTAGCTGACGTAATTGTCCCTCTACCACAATCACCCTCCCCTCCCCAGATCGTGTTCAGACTTGCAGCAGGTCCTGCTACCCAGCCAGTTCTAAGGGCTCAATAGTCCACTGGACGGCTCTCGTAGCTTGACTTAATGCTTGTCTCTCTCTCTCCCCCTCACCCCTCTTTTTCATCATTGCTGATTGTGGAAGGGACAACCACGTTACCTACTCAGTTTCCTTTTATTTCTCATTGACATGATTCAGTGACTTCCCCAGCCCTCTATATCTTTAACATGATACCTCCCAGGACCATAGTATTCCATACCAGACATTTCTTTAACTCCTCGTTACAGCAAGACTAATACAACACGGAGAAGAAAAGAAATAGAGACAAGAATACGACAGCCATGGACTCTTACAAAAGACTAACAGAAGGAACATCCCGGTTTGATCCTTCTGAACTATGCATCTTATATCGGTATAGTATTGGTATCTATTTTTTACCTATTGTTATTTTTTATCTTTGCTAGTTAATCATGTTTTTGGGTACCGGGCCATCCTGGTTACCCTGCTATGGGCTGTTCCCCTGGCTTATGCAGGTCTCGTTTACCCATATATATATAACTTATATCATTGCTCATCATGGAAGAAAACGCGAAACACTCGTAATCTCGTATATATAAACTTTAAGTTAATGAAGTATTTACTAATACAGCTATTAATTGATCAACAGACCTCTGGTTGAATTTGAAGGGCATTGCACTGATGAGCCAGTAGGAAAACATGTCTGGCTGCACCGGGGCAACGTTTACTTTGATCAAGGGACTGTAGCGTGCAATCTGAACAAAATATCCACTGTTAGCACATATCAATCATGTAACGTTAATATTTTCAATATACAACTCATTTTAGACATTTTATATAATCTATGAGAATGCTTTAACTTTTCTGATAGTATAGTGGTTAAAAGTGAGAAAAATAGTCATTCAATACTGAATACAGTTTTATTAGTATTTTATAGAGCTAAGGGAGGAATTTATTATTGATAATTGTTTTCATCATGCACATCGTCATATACATCGATGATCGATCATATGATCCGGCCAGCCATGCACACATGACGTACGTACGTTACAAACGAACGCACGTTATGCGCTGTCATTATCAAAATATAACAGTCGCGCGCTCCGTCAATTGCACAAAACTGCATATTTTGTCCCAAACTCAGAGGATGTTTTCTAAGGAGTTGTAACGCTGCCCCCATCCTTAAATCTGCATTCATATATAATATACAACATGAAACAATTAGTTCATGCTCTTATCCAAAACACTACCACAGCTTCACACCCTAATTTAATTAATGCACGATGAGATGTGAGTTTGTTCAGAGTATTGAAGTAATAAAAGTATAGTGGATTAAGTTTCTCAGAGTATTGATTGACAAAGGATACCGCTGTAATATAATGTAAGGTGGTTTCAGGTGGTGTAATAATTGTTAGTGGTTACTGGAGCGAGTGGTGCAATATAGACCGTAAAATAAACCATCAAGAAGCCATTTTAAGATTAATTTCATCAAACGTAACACATTACAAAATCACACAGGCAAACTTAATTAGATTGGCTCAGCCATATTGCGATGGGGGCAGACCTTTACAAATGGGGGCCAATTTGTAACAATTTAATCTGTAATCGAAAACATCGCCTCCCCAAACTCACCTCTTCCTTTATAACGCCCACAATGGTGTACACATCGTGACTCTTATACAGCCATGTGGGATGCGAGCTTAACTTGAAGGAATCACGTAACTTCCCCAGTGGATCGTATAATCTGTCCGGAATGTGGTCCGCTAGGATCTTGACTTTGGCGTGGAGGATGGGCGTCCTCCGTTGTGTGGAAATCGTCTTGAACCTCTGTCTACCTGTTGTTTTGAGTATAGATTAATGTTTTATGCATGTCTATTTTACCCAACTTATCAGTATCATAAATAATGAAATTCCAGCTTTAGAATGTAAATATAGGTGAATGTAGAGTGTAAATGTAGGTATCCAAATTCTAACTACATATCGCTGGACTATTGCTTATTACTGGACAGTGGACAGTGCTACATAATAACCAAAAACGAAAAACATGCAAATTCACATATCTTAGGGATGTAAAAAATCGCCGTTAATATTAGTTCAAGGAAATTCGGGATTAACTGGATTACCTTTGCACTTGAGCACAATTTCATTGGGTGTCTCATCTGAAACCTCCACAATTTGAACTGTTACACCGATTTGTGACCAACTGCGATCGAGCACCAAAGTCTCCCTAGATAATTAAATAATATTAATGATATTGGTATATTAACATATGTAAGTAACGTTGAAATTCATCTTTTATTGTCGAATAAAGTACATTGGTTCTTAAATTTTTATGAGATCCCAGTTTATATATTTAAAAAAAACCTTCTGCTCTGAGGAGGAGAGAAAGTTTTTGTGGAGAGCCGCTCAGACATGGGCACCGTATTGTGTAAATTATTTAGGTATATTTTATGCAATATCTTTGTCGCATACGAGCGGGGTAGTAAATATTGTGTTTCGTTTCGTTTCGTTTCGTTTCGTACATTATACGCATCAGCTTATCAAGTTAGAATTTAAGGTATTATTAATAAGTGCAAGCTGGCTGTTGACTTAACAGATTCTATGCTAACAACAGAACAGCAATGAGATCTATATGTTTTTATAGAGGAAGTAAAAAGAACAAATAGTTATTTAACTGTTATTTAATTAGATTTATTTAATTAAATAGTTATTTAACTGACCGTTCTGCGGGAAGGTAAACAGCGCCAAATGTCTTCTGATTGGTGTCAAGAAGAGCTCGGACCATGGCAAACTGCAGGGTGCTCTGTCTTATTCTGAGAGGAAGACTTTGTCCTGACAAAGAGTACTTTAGTTAGTTTTGTTATAACTTAAATAACTTAATTAATTAATCTAGCATACCAAATTCACTTTTTCTAGCGATAGAAATAAAATAAAACTGAATCAAAAGAACCCCGATTTTACACATTTATCTAGTAATCATGACGAATCAGCCTGAAAACCTGCTAACCTGGTATTACAATAACGTCAAGTGGTATTATGTACAAGTTCACGTGATGACCTTCCAACCAATAGTTGTAACCTTCAACTCGTGTCAAAGCCATATCTGAAGTTAGCCTAGTTATGACTAAGTTGTTAGGTAACCTTTATAATAATTCGTAATATCAAGTTTTTCAGTTTTGCGAGATGTAGCAAGGTCCGTACATGAATTGATAGTTCCTAAATTGAAGGAAAGTAATGATAGTTACATCACGCACTACAATCAGAAACTATGTAAATACATGCAAACGTATCCATGTAAACGTATGTAAACGTATGTAAATAACAATGTATCTGACCAAGGTAGGAATGCTGGGAAGGTATAGCAATATCGTAATCCACACGATCCAGCTCCTGGGCCTGTTCAGCATTTGCGATCCTCTGCTGGGTGCGTTCTGCTGCAGCATCTACCTGTCTCTCGATCCATGCTTCCTCAGCAGCTTCAGCTTCTGCCATTCGTTCAATCTCACGTTCTTGTTCTGCATACTCTTCTGCTACGCGTTCAATCTCACGTTCTTGTTCTGCCTGCTCTGCTATTATGTCTAGTGAGTCGTTATCTTCGTCCATCTCCATCTGTTCCTTTTCTTCTAAGTTCTCTGCTGCATCTTCTGAAATTGTTTGTATCAAACAATTTGGAGTAGATCTATCAAAAATGAAATCATTAATATATTGTCATAAAATATCCTGATAAAAATAAATAAGAAATAAAATGAATAGTGAATTTACCCATTTTTATTTTTATTTATTGAACGACTGGTTAGATCGGATTCAAAAATCATGATAATGTAAAAAATTAATTTTCAAACCGTAATCAGATTGCTCCCCGTTGTCATTATCCTGCTGAGCACTACTTTCACCACCTTCACTGTTCGATCTTACTTCCTCTTCCATTTCCTTCAAGATATTTATTGTGTATCCAATAAATTGTCTAATAAATTCTCTTTCAAAAGCTTTGATTGTGCACTGATGAAATGAAGATTGAGAGCAAAAGCCATGCTCTTAAAATGAGACTCCACGAATTATTTAGTTGCTTAAAATGTTTAGGACAAGAGTAAGCAGTGATTGACAATCTATACTGATATTAATAGTAATAATATTTCAATAAAATTACAAACTTTATTCCGACTGTACCTTAAAATGTAAACATTATAATCATATGTAGCAAACAATAACATTGATTACCAATGTAAATACAGTTATATAGATCACAGTTCGGCTCATTCATTCTTTCATTTTATGGATGATACTTTCCAAGTCAGAGGGTATGCTTTAATGTATGTAGTTGAAACACAGATTTTACTCATATTCGTTCATCGATCGTCTTAAATCTATTTCCCACCGCCTTGATTTTTCCTGATCCTTTTTTCTCTTTCGCTTACTTTCTGTCGTGAGTTTGATCTTTCGTTTGTGTAACAGGTTGTCTTTCAAACTGTTTACATCATGGGGTTCAAAGTGGGATACTTTTGGTTTGTTCTTCTCAGGAATTCCAAGTCCTCTTCTGTCAGTTTTTAGTTGTGTTTTTATGAGGTATTTTCGTCCAGCTTCTGATGGCCCTGTAAATATCATTAAAATGTTTTAAATGGAAAATAGTTTTTTTGCCTGGATAAACAATGACGATTACGTGCAATTTATACAAACAATTTTCTGTTATGCCCAATTCCTATGAAAATACAGCTTTCTATAAACGTGATGATTTTGAAGTTCAATACATCATCTGACCGTGACCATGTATCTGTATTATATCTATAACTATTATCTATATCTACGGGTATATGCCTCACAGAATGGCTAGCCTCACAGAATGGCCAAATTTGTAAATGTTTTTGTAACTAATTTTTTATATAAGACTGGTAGGTTTTGTGGATACCATATGAAACAAAAGTCTTCTGGCAACACTTCCTGTGGTGAAATCATTAACTAGGACCACATTTTCTGGCATAAATATGACTGTTTAAATGTAGAAATTTTTCAAATTTTGGAACTAAGTTTACATTTTGGTGAGAACTTCTGGCACCAGTAGGACAGAAGATGTTTAAAGAATAGTATTCATCAAACAAAACGAACATTGTTAAATATAGGAAGAAAAAAATGCTAAAATGGCTAAACGCCTCACAAAATGGCCAAAATATGCCTCACAAAATGGCCAAAATTTAAAGCTCCTTTTATTCAATGAAACAATAAGTCTAAAGTATTCACAAGCTATTTATCATACAATAACACCACAGATGGAGTGTTTTTACAGCCGAATGAAGGTTATAAATCATGAAATCAGGGAATATGAACAACGCCACACAAAATGGCCATTTTTGGTGTAGGAAATTATGCCCTTTTTATTCAGTTCTAAGAAATTTCACCTATATGGGGGTGTTAACAAGGCATATTTATACCAGCAGCATGCCTGAAACAAGAGCCAAAGGTTTTAGAAAAATAAAATTTTCTCGTTTTCATTTTTTTGGGGCCATTTTGTGAGGCATTTTTTCTTTTTTGTGAAATAATTTTTCACAGCTCAGTTTTTTCGTGAGTCTAAGGTTATTACCCCATTCCTTAATAGGTTTTCTAACAACGTGTGGTGATAGAAATTTAAAAAGTATCTCCATCAAAAAATTATAGAAATCCAGATTTGGCCATTCTGTGAGGCATGTTTTTTTGGAGGAAGATTTTCCGGCCAATTTTTCTCAAAGAAAAAATGGTTATGAGATTAAATCAACCCCCGGGAAGAAAAATATGAGTGTCAACTTAACTTCTTATGAGATAAAAACTGGAATAAAGTGTGTTTTGTGATTTTGAGAGACCTTCCTTTTTTTTGGCCATTCTGTGAGGCATATACCCGTACCTATTATATGTAGGTTCATAGGTTTTAACTTCTAAACAAGCTTACCTAAACCCTTGTTTTCGGACCACCCAAACTTGGACATCATTTTATAGCCAGCATTATTTGGATCCAAGTGGGGATTAATCTCAGGAACATCACGATTTTCTGCATGAAGGTGAGAAATCGATGATTCATGATTTGGATCACAGTGAAGCAGATTGCACTGCTTGCAATATTCTTCAGATTTCTGTTTAGCGCTTTCCAGCTTAACAGCAGTTGTTCTTAATTTCATGCTGTACTTCGACAAAATTCGATTGAGATTTTCATCTTTGACATTCCATACAACATCACTGAATGTGTTCCCAAAGTTGTCTTTTCCGTCCATTAGCGATGGGAAAAAATTCAATAAAAATTTAAAAGATTCATAGCTCTTATGAACGGCAGCTGTCATGGCTATATTGCAGCCTGATTCATCACACAGACTCTTCACAGCAGTCTGTAATGAGCCAAGATGATCATTTCTGAGTTTTTCAGGGAAATACAGAGTAAACCAATCTTTTACTGACACAATATCATCATTACAAACTTTGTTATACAAATTCTTGTAAGAACTTGGGGTAATTTCTTTACGTCTTTTATTTTTCTGTAATCTGGCAGGTGTATGTGATGATCCAGAAGAAGATTCACTGATGACTAAACTATAAAATTCAGCTGAACTGCTGCCAGGATATGCTTCAGGATACCTAGCACGATAACTGTCAGAGTTTGAAGGATTGCAAGAATTATCTACAATAGAATCTTGGATATCTTTACTTCTAACGAACGGGATAACAGTAAAGGGTAGCATAGCAGATGCCTTCTGGAGTGCTACAATTGCTGAAGTAATTTTTATTTTAAAACAATATCATTGCTTGATGGGTATGATGCCACTAATGTCAAGATGGACAAAGATTGATCAGTCCGATCGTTGATTCGTTTTCAGCTCCCGCTTGTGACAAGGTTGGTGGTTGTTCTCTTTTCTTTAATGAGCTAGTACAGACATCAGCACTGTTTGGTTTTAGATTAGCTCAAATGTAATAATCCAAAATAAAAATTGTATTAGATGATAGCGGTGGCGTAACGTTGCCTGTTGGCGCCCCCCGCTGAAAAAGCGCCCCCCCCCCCCCCCTGTTGGCGCCCTCTCCCCTTTTGGTGCCCCTCCCTAAAATTGAACAAATTAGGTGATTTTAGAGGATACACCGGTAAAATCTCTAAAAAGTGTGTATCTAGAGCAAATTGTTAGTACTTTAGTTAAGTTTTCGAAATTGTCCCACATTCAAACGACGATTTGGCGCCCCCCCTAAGACGGCACCCCTCCCCCCGATAGCGGGGTCAGCAGGGCCGTTGGTTACGCCACTGGATGATAGTAAAAATAAATCTTAAATCACTTAGTAAGTAAAAAGTACATCAATGCAACTGGATGAAGGAGACGTTAGTGAGTCTGGGTGCTGGGAGAATGCGCATTACACCACGTGAGATTGTTACTAGATTATTATTATTATTAAATCTAAAATAGCTAATAATTTAATTAATTATTAACAGGCCCCTTAACGTGGGCAATAACATACGCTTTGTTACTAGAACTTTTTACTAGAACTAGATTGTTACTAGGCCATTTACCTATTACTGATGCAGTCTCCATGTTTAATCTTATTATAATTACTGTATTCAGTATTGTAAATATAATGCAGTAGAACATGCATATTCTATGTTTCAGGGAGGAAAAGAAAATTTCGCAGCACAGAATAATTAAGAGAATATAGACACTAAAAATGTCCACATGACCCAAACTCCCAGTGTCCTTAACTAAACCTTTTAAATAACCTGTCAAGTGCAAGTGTCTCAAATATTTCCATGTTGGGTCAAGAAGTTAATCAACTGTCCAAATAATCACCTGCCATGCTACATACTAATTACTAAGAACTTATTAAAATTATTTGTGCGGTTTAAGATTGTGATAGCGCTCGATTTTCAACTTGAATCAAAACCAAAAAGTGTAGATGTCAAAATAATGAATAAAGTATGCGCGGCGCGACCAGAATTATAATCAAACTTTTAAGTAGAATATCAATTGTAGTGCGATTTACCAGGCTATTATGTTCATAAAGATAAAGATTTGGCGGAATGACAGGCTGAGCGCCGCCCAGTAAAGTGCGATGCGTTATTGGGCCGCGCCGCGCACTCAATTATGCTTCTCGCAACCACACCGATCTCGCTACATCGGCAAAATGCGCTACTGGATCCCACTGAACTGTGAAGTATTGACATCGTCAATTAACATATATTATCAATGACCAACAAATCATTATTGAATTAATTACTATAGCAATTTAGGAATATCATAATTTATATTCATAAAATTATTTGCTACACGTTGTATACCTCTCGTGCGGCCGCGCGCGATCAAAAGGGGTTGCAGCGTGTGTCAAAAAATTATCAATTAATATACATTAAAAATATGTATATATTTACAATTCAAATGCAAAAATTTACAAACTTTAGCTTCGATGTTTCCATGTAAAATATTAAACAAAATTAAAAAGTGTTTTGATTTGATATTACCATACACATAGCCATGTGTATACGCGCGCGCTTGTTTCACAAGTAAAATATACTTTGGCGGTCGCGCGCTACTGCAAGCGAGAGGGCTCTGGTTAGAGCAAATATTACCATTAAAGTTGTATGACCGTA